TTTGTTGCTGTATTTCATACTTGTATTTCGTTAATTGTTTTTATATAAATCAGGCCGTTAGTTTTCTCGTTTGAATTGTTTTACATTTGTCATTTTATAGCTGACTATGCGGTATGGTTTTTGTTCGTTGTTGAAGGACGTACGGTGACCTATAGTTGATAACTTCTATGTCATTTGGTCTCTGGTGGAGAGTTGTCTCATTGGCAATTATACCACATCTTCTTATTTTTATATTGATTGTTTATAAAGGTCACATCCGGTAAACTTCGGCAGTAACACACGAAAGTTAATTACCAGGTAAAGTTTTCACTGAATGAAATATTTTTGTGGTCGATTTATGTGTTATGGATTCGTAATAAATGTATAAAAAATCGTGCATAGAGGACTTAGTTTAATATATATATATACATGTACGTGCATTGGTTTAATAATTTCCTTAACATTATAATTGCAAGAAAATTATTTCATATGACTTTTAATCAGTCACAATAAAATATTAGTTCCTACTCAAGAGATCAGTCTTTCTCAACTCATCTTTAAAACTTATACAACACCCTTTGCAACTAAGAATTCAACTACAAACACATTGCAGGCTTAGACTTTGACGACATTCAAGTTGTACCTCCTGGTTTCAGCTACTCTATAAAAAAAGTACTAAGAACATACTCACCCCTTCTCATCCAATGGAAAATCGGTATTTTGCCTTCTATTTTTCTTAGAACATACTCAACTCCTTCTCGTCCAATAGAACATCAGTTTTTCCCTCTAGTTTTCATAGTACGTGGCTTTCCATGCACTATAAGATGTTATACATGAATAACTTTTCATTGTAGTTTAATTATGAAAGTGAACTCTTAATAACTACACTAATGAAGTGTACAATCCCCTGAGGCATTTTCCATAGGTAAACAGCCTACTGAATAAAGATGAAAGGGAATAGAATTATATATAAAAAAAGTATTTTGAAAATTGCAAATGCTTATAATGGTACATATATGGAACAATAAGAAAAAAAATGAAATGGGGACAAAGGTGTAGGTAAAGTACTTTAAATTAATGTTAATACCAGACCCAAAGAAAACAATGTCAGATTTCTGATATATAAAGCAAAGGAACTTTTTCGAAGAAAAAAATTTACATGTACATTCATCAATAAAAAGTACGTATCTGATGTTGAATGATCGTAAATCTAATATTTATTGAGTGAGTTTTATAATTGCCAAAAATATACAAATTTCAAAAAGCTGATTTAAATAACGTTGCATGCTTTTTATAATCAAGAAATCTAAGGTATATAAGTATTAAATTTTACCTGAAGCAGAAGAAAAACTCAATGTTTGAACAATTTATCCTTTTTGTCCTCACAAAACTTTGTCAGTGCAATCCATTGAAATGACCAGTCCATAACATATGATATACATTCCTTTTATTAACCAAGTTAACACTTCATTTTAAAGGAGAATTCTTATTAAGGTTTGAATATTACAATGGAAAGGATAATTTTGTAAGGTCACTTGAAGGTGTGAATATTTTCTGAATTGGTCAGACAATACTTGGTCATGTTTTATGAACATTTAAAACCCTCGGCTACGCCTTGGGCTTTAATTATAGGTTAGACAATACTTGGTCATGTTTTATAAATATTTAAAGCCCAATGCGTAGCGGAGGGCTTTGAATGTTCATAAAACATGACCAAGTATTGTCTGACCAATTTAAAACATATTCAAACCTTCAAGTGACATTAAAAAAATCTTCCTTTATAATTGTAATAATCAGACCTTAATATGAGTTCACTTTAATTGTTAACATTGTTAATAAAAGGGATTTAAATCATATATTCAATGGTCATTTCAACAGGTGCAATGTAATAGCACTGAGATAGTTTTTAGGACAAATAAGATGAATTGTTCAAAAATGGAGTTTTTTTCTACTTCAGGTAAGATTTAATACTATTTTATCTCAAATTCCTTTATTTTGAAAAGCCGTAATGTTATAAAAACCTTTTCGAAAATTGTATATTTGTTATTTAATTATAAAACTTGATAAATAGATAAAATTTCTATCCTTCCAACATCAAACGCTTACTTTTTTTTATTGACGAATGTATTGTTTTTGACTAATTGCTCTTGCCTTATAGATCAACAGTCATTGTTTCTTACAAAACATTGACTTTATGGTCTCGTTTAAAAATTTGATAAAATGTTATTTTACATACAAGTTTAAAACCCTTTTAATTTTCTCTATATGTACGATTATATAACTTTTGTAATATCAAAATTCAATTTAAGATGTTTTATAATTCTATTATCTTGTTTTCATTTAAAATAATTTGACAAACAACAGTACTCGTGCTTTTTTTCTTTTGCTGTTTTCCTATGGAAATTGCCTCAGGGGTTTGTAATACACTTCGTTAGTGCAGTTTAGAGTTCACTTTTATAATTAATCTACAATGAAAAGTCATTCAGGTATAGCATTTTATAGTGCATGGAAAGCCAGAGATATAAGAAGATGTGGTATGACTGCCAATGAGATAACTCTCCATCCAAGTCAAAATTTATAAAAGTAAACCATTATAGGTCACAGTACGGTCTTCAACACGGAGCCTTGGCTCACACCGAACAGTAAGCTATAAAGGGCCCCAAAAATTACAAGTGTAAAACCATTCAAACGGGAAAACCAACGGTATAATCTATATAAAAAACGAGAAACGAGAAACGAGAAACACTTAAGAACCACATCAACAAACGACAACTACTGAACATCAGATTTCTGACTTGGGACAGGTGCAAACAAATGCAGCGGGTTTAAACGTTTTAATGGTACCAAACCTTCACCCTTTTTCTGAAACAATAGTGTAACATCACAACATAGAAAGACACACTATAAAATATCAACTGAAATATCTTAACTCAATCAAAGGACATATTAACACCAATGAACATACACTGAACAAATAAATTTGACCTATGATACAATGTAAATACAAAATAAATAAACTAAGGGAAGAATAATAAAAGTAACATGTTATATCGGTATGAAATGTTAAACAATTTAAGGAAAATGTACATTTGTACTATGAAAAATAGAAGGCAAAATATCGATTTTCCATTGGACGAGAAGGGGTGAGTATGTTCTAAATCTTCATGCAACATGACAAAGTATTATCTAACCTTTACATAGTACATGGCTTTCCATGCACTATAAAATGCTATACATGAATGACTTTTCATTGTAGATTACTTATGAAAGTGAACCCTTAACAGCACTAACGAAGTGTGTTACAAACCCCTGAGGCAATTTCCGGTTGATCTATAAGGCAAAGGCAATTTGTGAATAAACAATACATTCGTCAATAAAAAAAGTAAGCATTTGATGTTGGAAGGATAGAAATTTTATTTTTCTATTAAGTTTTACCATTAATATACAAATATACTATTTCGAAAAGGTAATTTTATAACATTATGTGCTTTTCAAAATGAAGGAATTTGAGGTATAAAAAGGTATAAAAATTTACCTGAAGCAGAAAAACTTCCATTTCATCCTATTTGTCCTCAAAAAACTATATCAGTGCTATTACATTGCACCTGTTGAAATGACCATTATATTTGTGATTTATATCCCTTTTATTAACAATGTTAACAATTAAAGTGAACTCATTTTAAGGTCTGATTATTACAATTAGAAATGATGATTTTTTAATGTCACTTGAAGGTTTGAATATGTTCTAAATTGGTCAGACAATACTTAGTCATGTTTTATGAACATTTAAAACCCTCGGTGACGCCTCGCGCTTTAAATATTCATAAAACATGACCAAGTATAATCTAACCTATAAGTATATATCTTTATATATAGGTTACTTATTTATGAAGGTGTAAAGGTAAACAAATTTCAGAATAAGTACATGTGGTGTCATTTTTGCACGTGTCACGTTAAATTTCATAACATCCGATTTGTCATGTTTAACTGTGAAGACCTTTTGTAGTGTCAGTTACATCAAAATCTTTCAAAGCTTTTGTTTACATTATCTTGTCATTTATGTGCTTGTGTTTGTTTGTCCATTTAGAAGTATGTTTTATTTCTGATAAAGTTAAGGTCAATGAAACTCAGTAAAGTATGGTGAACAAAATTCATGATGATTAACACTTATTTGTAGCCGATGTCACTGTTGCAATAACTAAATATGTAATGCTATATATTTATAAAAACCGTTTATAGTCCAACATCCTGTCGATACTATGTACTTATATTTTGGCATTGCACAAGGTCATAAATGTTAGAATACCAGAATGTTAATGACATCTTAACACTAAATCCATTGGATGTGTACTGATTTTATATTTAAGTCTGAGAAAACATGATTTTATTATTACCTGTTGTTGGATTTGAACTAGCTTTCAATAACTGCGAGTACTATTATATAGATCGGTACTTTGTGACTTTTGTCTTCATGTTAGTTGTTTTTTGCGCTTCTTGCCAATCTGATTTGTTTAGTCATTTCCAACTGATTTTCTACAGTTTGTTCTTATGTTGTGCTGTCACATCACTGTCCGAGGTTAGGGTGGGGGGGCTGTGTGCTTTTCAACATTTAACCCCGCCTCATTCTACACGAGCCATTAATTCAGTGGTTGTTGTTGGTTGCTGTTTGTCATATTTGTTTTCCTTTTATTGTTTTGTCATAACTAAAGTCGTTGTTTTTTTCGTTTGAATTGTTTCATGTTTTGTCATGTCGGGTCCGTAAGTTATAAACATCATGATCATTCTGTACTTAATATTCGAAATAAATCCACTTAAATATCTTTAAAAACATAAAAGTTCTCGAGTAATTAACCACCATACATCATTAAATTGATGAAACACATCCATAAACATTATTGATAATTACCTTTTAAAAAAAATATTGGACACATATAATGCATCACATCAAAAACAATGTATTTAAACAAACAAAAAACATCTTGATATAAATTCTAAAATATCATCACCCGTTTCATTTGAAAGCAAGGTTGCGACAGAAACACAACTAAAATGAAGACCTTCTTGCTTGCTGTAGTTTTCTGTGCTTTTTTGGCTGTAATATCAGGTCAAAACTTATTAAGAGGTCTTTTAGGTCTAGGTATAGCAAGTCATCTCTTCAGAGGTTTTACTAATTCATTTTCAGGAGGAGGTGGTAATTCATACGATTGGGGTAGCGGACGAGGACAAAATGCCTACATAATTCAACCAACGAGTGACCAATACTATGCACAAGGTAAGCTAAATTATACCTTCTCCCTGAAATAGATAAATTAATAAATATGAATAATAAAAAATGGAAATAAAATTTGAATTGCAAAATTATTTGAGTGCTAAATACTTTTATACTTTTTTTCATATCCTTAATTTTGGTTTCATTAGAATTCATGTGTAGTGAGAAAACAAAAATAGTGGAAATCTATATACATTGTGCCTAGCAGACACATTGGTGTTCTTAAAATTTTTCTATATTCTTATTTTTATAGTTTATGCTTTGCACTATCTTTTGTTCTATTTTTCTTATTTATTATACATGCATCAAAATTCTTCTTTTAAATAAAATCTTGTTCGTTTTAATTTGCGCTTCGTCTACAAATATAATACGGCATGAATTTAGACCATCGGGTTAAGTACTTTGAGCTTGCTTTAATTAACTGCGAGCATTCTTTGGTACCGTATAATTGTTTATTATTGTTTTGTTTGTACTTGTGTCCTTTGTTGTCCATTAACCGGTATTACAGAATTAAGTGCTTTTCCTCTACTGAATTTTGTTTGATGTACCTTTTGTAAGTCCAGTAAACTAGATTAAAAATGGGATGGTAGAAATCTCCAAAACATTTTTAATACCGCGCCAAATGTTGATGTGTCTCCTCTCAAGTCAGGATCCTTAGCCAGTTGTATTTTGTCTTTTTTCATATCTTGATGTTTTTTATTTGTTTTAATTTTGTTATTAAGAGAATTTGGTGTTAATTTGATGTCAGATCTCTTAATTTAAATTCCTTCACAATTTGTTTAGCCTCGGGGCGATTTAGAGCTTGAGATATTGAAAACTATTATTATTTTCTAAATTCCCTTCGTTCAGATGAGCATAAATTATGTATGTACAAGTGTATCTAATTAATAGTATAGAAACTATGCACCAGTTACTGAAACATCAGATTCTTATCACATAAAAAATTAAAACAACTGTTTTAGATGTGTTATGCCTGACACGATTTTGTGAGGTAGACTAATCCGACGTTTAAATGATCAAATTGACTATTTATGTACAAAAAATAAGCAGATCGGTCATATTTGACTTCATTAACTCACTGCTTTCATTTGAATTAAATTGGACTGATAACAGGTTAATTAGATTGAAAAGAGCTGTTTTCTGTTAAGACAAACTTTTTACCTTGCGTAGACTTGCGTAAAATGTCTTCAAAATAATATATTTTTCAAAGAATGAAAACGAATAGCCTGTAAATTTTCTCAAATTTCTAAACAACGCGCTATTTCACTATTGTAAAAAAATCACTGTATTACGAAAATTTCGTGAAAAGGTAAGAACTGCAAAATCACACCTTTCATACCTTTTGTTTAATTCATTAAAATATCATTAACTCGTCCAGTGTACAGTTTGGTGGTTAATCGAAGCACACGTGTGTGTATAAAGAAATATGCAAATTAACATGTTTTCAGATATACACACGATATAATTATACGTTAAATGCCTTTAGATAAGGAACGTCCAGCAAAGTTAAAGCGTGAATTATTAAGATTGGGGGTCTAGATGGGGATCTTCATTTATATATTCTTTAATTTTAAAGTCATTTTTCTCTATTCTTCACTTATGTTGCCCATTATTCTCAAGTCTGTAACATATCCAGACTCTCTAGTTAATGAACATTTGGTTTAATCGTATTCATTAAAAGAATTAATAATCAAAATTCGACTTGAACTTTCAGTATAATATTAGGACAGTAAACTAAAGACATACCATAACTATACTTGTTAATCCACAAACAAGAGTATTTTTATAATTTCTTATTTTTTTTAACTTCGGGTCTAGAGTTGCAATCCTTGTATTTTTGAAAATATTGCAAAACATTTGATTATGATTTATTCAGCGGTTTTGTCATGAAGTGCGTTTACGTGAACCATGGTATAGCAAACATCGAATTCCTTCACAAAATCTTATCACACACTATAATCAAAGTAAGTCATGTGTTGAAATATAAGAAAATGTTGCGCTCTGAACAATCTACAAAAGACAAAAAAATTATGTTAAAAATCGCATTTACTACTATTTAAAGGGGCACTAGCTACGAGATATATAAAAAATCTAATATATGATTTTTTTTTTGTTCAATCATTAATGAAAGTGAAATAGTGAAATAATTATTCGCTTTTAGCCGCCAGTATGGTTCAATTTTGTCAAAATAAGCTAAGAAACATTGATGATGAATTATTCACTTGCAAGTGAATAATTCGACCTCATTGAATCCGTATTCATGTGAACTTCAATTTAACCCCTTAGCTAGAGATGGATAACACGTGAATTGTATGTGTAAAGTTATTTAAAGGAAAAGAATGTCAACATTGAAAGTGAAACAAAGGTAAATCATTTGATTGACCGATCCGATCCACAAAAAAATCATTCTTATACAAAAAATCATTCTTATACAGGTAAAAACGATGATAAACATATATTTTACTCTATAATAATGAAATTAAACAGACCTAGGAAAATCCAATAGCACGAGTTCGCTTAATCTATTTATATCTTTATTTATGTTTACATCGCTTATATGGTCATCGGATGACTTTGGAGGTCAACTCGATAGTTAATTAGAAGGCGTCTAGACTAAAATACACACGAAACGAAGCTATGTGTTGTCATGCCCATGTCCTGTTAACTGTTTATTTTAGACTTTTTATAGTTTGGATAAATGTTTTACATTGTTATAAATCAAATATGAGAATTGGAGTCAAATCGGTGTACATGAATTTGACAGCTAGTGCCCCTTTAAAATATATATCTACATAAATAAAGCTAACAAAAATGCGTGTACAATGGCGAATGGTCGATACTTTCAAATCGAGTCCATGTGGTTTATATACTCAGGTTTATTAAACCGGTTACAATTCCCCTTTTTATTAATATTGTATTTATATTGTCATAGATCAAATTTATTCGTTCAGTGTATGTTTACTTGTTTTTGTTAATATGTTTTTTGATCGAGTTCAGCCATTTCAATTGATATTTTATAGTGTGTATTTCTATGTTGTAATATTACACTACTATTTCAGGTTAGGGTGAAGGTTGGCGCCTGTTGAAACGTTTAAACCGCTGCATTGTTATACACATGTCCTAAGTCAGGAGCCTGTTGTTCATTGGTTGTCGTTTGTTGTAGTGGTTCATAGGTGTTTCTCTTTTCTCGTTTTTTATATGGATTAGACCGTTAGTTTTCCTGTTTGAATTGTTTTACACTAGTCATTTTAGGGCTCTTTATAGCTTGCTGTTCGGTGTGAGACAAGGCTCTGTGTTGAAGGCCGTACTTTAACCTATAATTGTTAACTTTTTATACATTGTGACTTGAATGGAGAGTTGTCTCATTGGCACTCATACCAAATCTTCTTATCTATATTGTATATCATTTGTTTCATTTTGGTCATACAAGTACCGCTGGGACAGATATTTTAATCTCATCAAAATAGATCTAGATCGTGTTTATTGTTGATGTTCCGACTAGTCAATCCTACAAACTTTTATTTAAACACTTCAAACTAAATTTTCCATTAAAAATTAAAAAAAATAGCATAGGTGTACTGAAAATTCGACATTTTTTTAAAAATGACCCATATATGTATTTACTGTATTCTAACTTTTTCTAGAAACTTCTATCCCAGCGATACTTTAATGACCCAAATGAAACAACTGTTATATATATATTTACTGTATTCTGACTTTTTCTCGAATCTTCTGTCCCAACGCACAGGTACTTTTAAAAATTCCTTTATACCTTAATATTTTTTTTTTTCAGAGACAAGTGCCTGTGTCCCAACGATACTTGTATGACCCAAATGAAACAGCTGATATATATATATTTAACTTACCTCCTATACATTTCTAGGAATATGATTGGTTAAAAACAACTGCCTGCAGACCGTGAATATTCCATATTGGGTTAGTAGGCGGGGCCTAGATCAATACACGGTTTGTAGTGGTGTTACGTCCCTTTATAAAGACAACAAGGTGTTGAGGAAAAATCTTAAAGGTTTCAACAGACGAAGAAATTGATGATGAACGATTGAAATAAATTCATACAACACATTTAAAGCTAACAAGTTGTTATTGTTGGCATTTGATTTTGTATAGACTAATGGAAGTAGGTTCTGAATACAAACGGCCACTTTGATAGGCCACTAGTCTAAATACCACATGTCAAGATAGTCGGTAAGATAAATTCGTTACATAGTGTGTTAGTGACCTAATACGATATATATGGGGTCAGTAAATTCCATTTATATCGTATTAGGTCACTAGCACACTATACAACTAATAATATATATGTATATTTACTAAGTTGTTGAAATCAAATGATATCTATAAAATCATTTCAATTGTTTTTTTTTATTTTTATTATTTCTTGAACTATATATGTGTATCTATAATTTTTCGATTAAAAATGTTTTTTATTCCTTCAGATTATGGTTATGATCGTGGATATTTGTGGTAACATCATCCAGCTAGTAAATAGTCAGTTGAGAGCTTCAGAAGTCATATCAAATCATCACAAGAATAAAACATTTGTATGATTTGTCTTTCATTTATCACAGAAACATTCACATCAAGGCCTTATGAAATAAAATCAATAGCTTCTATTTCGTTTTTATCTGTCTATAGGGGACATCAGCAATATGTGTGTATATGTTATGACATATATTCATATGAGGCGGGCTTCATACTGGAGCATTTTAGGAATCATGAAAAGAAAGTAATATTATCCTTTATCTTCACGTTCCGCTATATAGATGCTATCCTCTCACTAAATAATTCAAAGTTTGGTGACTATTTTGAACGAATTTATTTCATCCAATTTGGGATAAAGAATACGACAGATACAGTCAGAGCTGTTATATCATAATAGTCCATGTTGATTAAAATTTTAAATTCTTCGCTTGCAAACTTTGTTTGGTTGTTTGCTCAAACATTATGATTAAGATTGACACCTAAATTCAATGGGTAGGCGAAGTTAATACTTAGATTACAAAGATTAGATTGGACAATGAATATCATATTGTTTCCAGTCAGGCACTTAAAAGATTATAAAAGAAAGCACAGGCTAAAGGGGATACGGGAAATAGATTTGATTTTTGATTTTTGGTGTTTTAACGCCCCTTTTAAGCACCGCTTTTGGGCTATTTCGTGGCGGCCAGTTTTTATTGGTGGAGGAAGCCGGAGTGCCCGGAGAAAACCACCGACCTTCGATAGGAAAACTGACAATCCTAGTCAATTAAGATTGGAGTCGAGTGCACCTGCACGAGCGGGGTTCGAACTCACAACCTCAGTGTTGACTGGCTAGTGATTACAGTAGTAACTACTTAGACCACTCGGCCACCGAGGCGGCACGGGAAATAGAAATAGTTAGTTAAAGGTGAACCAATTTTGAAATGGATTAAAATGTAAAACATGAACAGCTTTAATATCACATTTTAATTTTAAATGTACTGTACCTATAATGTTGTCAAAATATGATTTCTTGTTACTAATTACGTGATTTTTTTTATTTTTTAACTTACTGTATATATTCTGCAAGATAAAGTTAATTTCGGATCGCTTTGTTGAAAACTTTGAATTTTTATGATTTGAAAAATCAGTGGCTCTCGATTCTTTCAGGGTCACTGCAGTAGTATTACTAAAGGGAATATGGTAAGCAATAGTGTAAAGGCACTCCCCGACAAACAAAAATAATTGTATATTTACTAACTTGTGTATTAAAAACAATAATAACACAATTTTTGAAACGCATTCTCTTATTTGCCTGCATTAAAATTTAACAAGTATATGCAACAAGAAATGAAACCATATTCCTGCCCCATTATTAATGATTTGATATACAAGTTTCCATTTCATTGTTAATGATGGTCTTATTCTTTAAATATTTTGGTAAGAAATGAAATCTGTATAGTTTCATCATTACGATCCAAATAAAGCGAGAAGTCCGAAACCAGTCAAAACTTTAAAAATTATTTGACAGCAGATTAAATTTTTGTTTTTGTTTTTGTTTTTGTTTTTTTGGGGGGGGGGGGGGGGGCGTAGAAAGAAGAAGGGGATACTTTGAACAATTCCAATTTATGATTCTACATAAAGAGAAAACAACTTAAAAAAATACGCACAACTAAATCAAAATAATCCATGTTTATGCAGTAATATCTGTTTTACCTATGCGTGTAAATTGTATCGATAATATAAAGAAAGTGTTTATATTACACCTGCTGATAAATGATGATGGTTTCATCTTCCAATATTAAGAAGAAGAAAAAACCAATTGTGTGCACAAAACTTTTCATTATCATATCAAATAAAAACAATCACCTCATCAAATCTTGGTTTACTGTAAAACTTGTATTATTATTAATTAGTTTTCAAAATTGGTTCGCATTGGACTAACTATCCTTTTTTCCTGTATACCCTTTGAGTGTCTGACTGGAAACAATATAATATTCATTGTCCAATCAAATATTGTATATAGTAAACATACAGTTACGCCGCCTATCCAATGAATTTAGGTGTCAATCTTGAGTACAATTATCAATGTTGGAGCAAACAACCAAACAAAGTTTGCGAGCAAGGCATTTAAACTTTTGATCAGCATGGAATATTATAATAGCTCTAAGTCTGCCTCATATCTTAACTGAGATCTAGAAATTGACAATGAGGGTTGCCGGGTTGATCACAAAACTTTCCAGCTTTCCAATTGTGAACTTTCTATTTATATGTAGCAACATTCCAGCAGCGCCTGCATATGACGTATATATTTCGAAGTTAAAACGATATTCCAGAGCTTTCATTTCCTATCACGATTTCCGTGATAGAAGGTTGCATGCTGCTTACATGGAAACAAGAGTTTCAAGTGTGAAGTTGAAATCATCCCTTCGAAAATAATTTTACGAACGCCATCACGAGTTGGTTCCTCGAATGCGACCTACCCACGAATAATACGATGGGTGTCACATGTGGAGTAGGGTCTGCTTACCCTTCCGCGGGAGCACCCGAGATCACCACCGGTTTTTGGTGCGATTCGTGTTGCTCAGTCTTTAGTTTTCTATGTTGTGTTTTTTGTGCTGTTGTTTGTCTTTTGGTCTTGTTCTTTTTTTGCTAAGGAATTGACAGTTTATTTTTCGACTGATGAATTTGAATATCCCTTTGGTATCTTTTGCCGCTCTTTTATACTTATATTTTCATTCCTGTTTTTGCAACAACAAAAACACTAACAGATAAAAAGAGTATCTAAATATAAAGGTTCATCAAACACCACTCTTGGGTATTCGTTGAAACCTTACTGTTAGAAAAAAAACCACAGTGACATGCATGCAGCCGAATTCAAAATTCATCAAGGGATAATATTAGGACCTTTTTCAAAACCGACTTTAGCTTACAGAAATATTTAAAAAGATCGTGAAAATATTACTTCCCTAAAATTTCAATAGAAAATTGAAAGTGGTATGGAGACAGTGTAATCTCACATCAATTGGAAACGAGTTCAATTATGTATTTGAGTGTCAGTCTGTTATTGTAAAAAAAAAAAAAAAAAAAAAACACGAAAGGATTAAACTAAAAAAGTTCATGAAACCTAATGGCTTTTAAAGAGTTAAGATTATATTCTTGAAATATTTTCAAATATTTTTGCAGGTTTCTCTTAAAATCGGAATCTTATTCTGCAATATGGACGGCTGTTGAAGACAGTTTTGATACATTTTGCAATTTCTACATGTGTTTTGAAAAATTAGCGCATCTTTAAACAAAATAATTCAAGTCGTATGAGAAATGCAATACATCTTGATTTACTCTGGTTCATTTTTTTGGTATTTTATTTTTTTTTGTTTGGAATGTTCTCATTAATTTTTTGGAAAAAATACGCAAAATGTGTTCAAATGTACCGAAGTTGCCGTTTTAAGCTCTTTTAAGTAGTAATAATTTGGTAACACGTGGACCTTACATGTATTACACACATATGAATATATTTTCAATTCAACGCAAAACAACTATATTGAACACTTTGGTTTAATCTATTTTTTCTGTAGGAGCATTTTTTGTTAACAATCAAGGACAGTTGTTATTCTAAACACTTGATTTGTCATATTCTTGGAGAATAAGCCTGATTGAATATAATGGGTAGATAATGAAACTAAATAACCATATATGGGTCAGTTTTCTAAAGAAGATTTATCTTTTAGATTTTGAGGGTAACTGAAATTGATAAAGACAATCAAAGGAACACTAAAAATCATTCACAAAAGTTTCTTTAAAGTACAACTGAGGAAAACCAAGGTAAATTCACTGTTCAAATCTAGAAAAGCTTGTCCAAAAAAGATACCTACAGCTACTAGTGTAAATAATCTGGCATGATTATGATATTTTGAGAGATTTCCAGTCAGGTTTCAAAAAAATAAGTTTCGACTATTAATCACCTACTTATCATCTATGATAGAAGAATCTGGAACAAGGTAATGTACTATATGTGATTTGTGATATCTCAAAAAAATTTGATCGCGTTTGGCACAAAGGAGTATTATATATACAAAGCAATCTCAGGGGACCCAAATCAACCTGAAAATTATAGGGTTATAGCCATTAATAGTAGTATTGGCAAACTATTTAACATTATTCTTAATATTAGATTTGAAAAATTCCTTTCTGACAATGGTATAATCCATGAAACTATTATGTTTAAGTTATTGAAATTAATATAATGTAAATGGCTATTACTACAATATATTGAATTCTATATATAAATCTGATAAATTATGTATCAAGATAGATCAGAAAATGACCAGGCTGTTCACATCTGAAGTCGGTGTAAGACTAGTGGATGTACTCAGTCCCAACCTATTTAATGTGTTTATAAACGAAATACCCTCTTTATTAGAAGAAAAAAATGAAAGTCTTAAACTGAATAACAAAATAATTCCTTGTCTGTTATATGCTGATGACTTGGTTTTAATCTCAGACACAAAAGAGGGACTCCAAAACAACCAACATTCTTTATAGATATTGTGAAAAATGGTGTCTACAGATAAATGTGAAAAAACTGAAGTGATAATTTTTAACAAAACTGGTAGGTTACTAAAAGAAAACTTTAAAATTGGTCATAATGATATATAATGTGTTAAATTCTATAAATATTTAGGAATAACAATGAGTAATACTGGAAAATTTAATGAAGCCAGAAAAGATCTTTATGAAAAGGGACTAAAAGCTAGCTTCAAATTATATCGAAATCTAAATTCATCATCACCATCAGTTAGTAGTCTTCTTCATATATTTGACCATACTATAAAACCCATAAGCCTATATGGATGTGAAATTGGGGTGTAATAAATATAACTACAAAAAGGGAAAATGGGGATCATAGACAACTCCTGGTGCTCTAATGTTCAATTATTCAGCAAAAACTTAAACATTAACCTTTCAATTTGCAAAAATCTTAGTAAAACCAAATTTAAAGTACTAATAAAAAAACGACTAAAAGATGATTTCCTTAAATTCTGGAAAAGTATAAAAGATTTTACACCTGATAAACAAGGAAAACTAGACACTTTCTTTAAGTTTAAGTCTACAGTCCAGTTTGAAAAATATTTAGAAATAAGAAATACAGATAATCGGTCTATGCTATCTAAATTTAGAATAAGTAATCACTCTCTACGGGTAGAAACTGGAAGGCATGAGAGAAAATACAATTCTTTTGGAAAACTAAAACCATTACCCAGATGTGAACGGCTTTGTCAGTTCTGTAATTTAAACCAAGTAGAGGACGAAGCACGTTTTTTACTTCAATGTCCTAAATATAACCATAGGAGAAAAACTTTACTATCTCAGATTGATAACCCCAATGTAAAATAACTTAGTACAAATAACCTGTTTTTATGGATAATGGTAAATGGAGACAACACATGTTTATCTTTATTGTGTGAATTTTTAAAGCTTAACTCTGCAGAAAGAAAACAGCATAACTATACTCAATCATAATGATCATCTACCTGGTAAAATGAAAATGTTTATTTCAACAATCAGAGTTATCTCTCTTTATTCACTAACTGGACTTGTATGATTTATACTTATGTGATGACTTTTATGTATGTTCTAATGTACTGTATCTAATTAACATAATCAGAGTGAGCGGAACGAGAAATATTGGTATGAATGTGTGAATGATCGTGTTAAATTTTGTAAAGCCAAAAGGGCCCTGTAGTGAGGGAATAAAGAATTTGAATTTGTATTTGAATTTGAATTACTTAGAAAATATGAGAGAAACCTTCTAAACTGGATCAAACGTTATCTTTCAGATAGGTAACAAAGGGTGGACATAAATGGATGTTTGTTCGAACTGGATAATAGTAAATGTTGGTGTTTCTCAAGGATCTATTTTAGGTACTTTCTTATATCTATTTTTTTGTCAATGACATAGTCGAACTTGTTACAAACAAGATCAAACTTTTTGCAGATTATATTGCTTATACTGTATTGTTGAAGATGAGATGTCTGCAGCTGATTACCTAACTGATTAGGATATAAAATTCTTGCACTATTTATCTTCCAACTGGTGTTTGAGTTTTACATTTGATGCTGCCAAGACCAAATATGTGTATTTTACAAAAAGAAAAAAAAAACAAGAAAAAAAAACAACATCGAATTCTGAAATTGCACCACTGTGAATAACATTCCTTTGGACAATTTTTCTAAGTAGATGTATAAACACTTGGACCCATACTTTTTTAGAAATTGCCAAGTGGGCGGATCATATTAGAGAAATGTATACTAATTCCTGTAAGCGCATAAGTATCATGAGATATCTAAACATAAGACTGACAGAGATTCTTTAAAAAACTTTATATTGGCTTTATAAGACCCATTTTGGAACATGGGAATATCATTTGGGATAACTGCAGCCAGGAAGAACCTGAATTTATCGAGTCAGTCAAAAAAGATGCTGCTCGAATATTTACTGGTCTAAAAAAAGGGTACCAGATGGAAAATTATATAAAGAACTTGAATGGAATTTCCCTCGACGGTAGACGACCAGAAAATAAATTATTAAATTTCCATAAGGTCTTATCTGTAGAGATCCCAGAATACATAGATGCAGATTTCACATCATTTACAAATACTTTATTACACAGTACTATATATTTATACTACATTGCGGGGACTATCTACAGTCTCATTACATCGTACCTCATGTTATAAAAATCCGGTATATTCCAAATATCATGAATAAATGGAATTCACTTGACGATAATATCTAAATACATACATTACTAGCAATTAACAATATCAAAAAGTGTGTTGAACGAGGATATCATACGCTGTCCACCATATTTTGATATTTGTTAATCCAAATACAATATTATACATTATCAGCTTAGGAATGAGACAAGTGACGTTAAACTACATCTGGTTACTGACCACTTCTCTAGAAGCTCCAGGTGTGCTTGTCACCGATTGAAGATAGCTTTAATTTCTTAATATTTGTCCTCCGTACATGCAGTCACTTGGCCATAAATATGAAACTTGTTGTCCTGCTCTATGGGAACATAGACCTTAACATAGATGAAAATATTGGAATAATTACAAATGTATAACACTTTTAGTTACACAGTGTGCTTAAGCCTAGTGTCCTAGCTAATACGATATATATAGGGTCAATAAATTACATATAGAGTTCGTGTGCTAGTGCCCTAATACGATATATATGTTGTCCGGGTGAAAAGTTTCAGATTTTTCATCAACGCATGTCGTGTTGTTTTTATAAAGGGACGCAACGCCATTGCTAACCGTGTATCAAAATAAACCGCGCCTACTAACTCCATATTAAATATACAAGGGTCTACGATAACATTGAAGACACTGTCGAAGACTGAGTTTCTATGATGTGATAATGACTTGTATAAGATGTTGATGGACATTTTCCCTCCTTTATATGACTTATATATACCATCAATTCCTCATTGCTACAAATTGTTTACTTTCAAGTTTTCATATCAAGGCCACATTTCTTCTTCAGTATTTTATATATGGAATTGTTACTATCAATTTCTATGTCTAAAACACGCATTAATTAAATATCGTTTGAAAAAAATATTATTGAAACGTATTATATCTTATAGGTCTGATAAATTACATATCCAAGTAATATTTATATTAAGATTGTTGTTTGAGGGCCTCAGGGAAGATTCTCTACCCTCCTTGAAATGAAGTATTTGGTTAAGTTACTTACATACAAGTTTCATGTCATTTACTAAATACTTTTTGGTTCGTTTTTTGTTTAAACATTTTACTTTGGGTTTAGTCGTATCTTAATGGTTCTCTGCAAGAACCTACCTGAGTAAAACTTTTCTTCTAACAGATCATATTTCAAAACAAACATTTTTGGGAACATGACCACGCGGGACTAGGAATGAAAACCAGAAGATATGAATTTTGTACAAAAACTCCAATTAAGAGAGGTAGAAATAAATTTAGCTATCAAATACAGACGCAAAAGATATTCATTTGCACCTAAAAAGCATCAACATCTTTGATAGAATGTGTTTACTTACCGTCAAAATTCGTCATATCGCCTGACGGTTCTCCTGTTCGCTTTGACAAAGACTTTGGTCTATCTGTAAAAATCTGCATAATTCATAAAATCGCAAGAAAACACAAGAGTCTGTAGTCTCTAGTCGTTCACAATGGATTTAGTCGAAATATAACCCAATGTTTAGACAACATTAAAACAAACTTATTGTATATCTTAATTTTTGTTAAAAGTAAACAATACACCAATCTCGAGTTGTTTATTTATTCAAATTGAGTTACAGGTGTCCGACCACCAATTTCATCCACTCCAATTTAGGACAAATGTTAAAGCAGCCTTAACCTGACAAAAACTAGTGTTTGATGTCATTGTTTACTTAAAGTTAAACTAACAAACAAATTTGCAGAAATGAAACTTTTGGTGAAAGAGAAATATGTATAATTTATTTTAAGCCAAAATTTACTTGTCCTTGACTTTGCATTAAATTTTGAAGATTAATGTGCTCCACAGTATACTTATTTAAAATTTCAAGAAAATGATGGGGGGGGGGGAGGGGTATTTTTAGTAGCGCTTGACTTCTGAACGGTTTTGTTTCATTGCAAGACTGGAAACATTGGTTGAAAATTGGCAACATGTACAATTCAGAAATTATACCTGATTTCGGGTAACACGAATCACCAAATAACACCGTTATTAGCCAAATAACACTTGTAATCACCGAATAACACTTGAAATTTTAATATTAGCACATATTGGTGACATTTAAACATTGATAATTAAATAATATTGTATTATAAGTGTATTTTATAACTTAAAAATGATTTATAGAAAGCAGGTAAGTTCATAAAGATCGCATTAAATATTAGTGTGTACATCGAACATGGCGACCAAGGAAAACACAATGGGAAGAATAAAAGAATGATTGCATACAATCCCTCAACGTGTTCATTTTAGACCACCAAAGTGGAGCCCTCATGCCACGTCAAGGCAATGAACAATGTGAGGGTGGGCGCCTCCCCATTTAAAAAAATATGGAATATTTAACTGTTTACAATAATAATTTTTGTTTTTATAGTTAGTAAAAAATTAATATTATATTTTTTAATTTAAAAATGGAGAGTAACCAAGCCCTTTTAAAACTACTAAGATATCCTGCACAAGGCACGGGCTTATCTGTTATAGTTCGCGAAAACAATTTATTTAGAATTTTATTGTGAAAAATTAAAACTACTAAGATATCCTGCACAAGGCACGGGCTTATCCGTCATAGTCCGCGAAAACAATTTATTTAGAACTTATTGTTAAAAAATATTTTCTTCCAGTTGTACCTGAAAACATGCGCAACAATACTATACATGCATTATTTATCCAGTCTATAAAAACAGCAATGGGGAACAGTAAAAGAAAAATGAATTAAACACAATACAAATTAACTGCACCTATACTTCATATTTGCAAGAAAATATTTTTTAACTCTGTTCTTCATATTTTACCGTAAATATGCTGAACATTTTGGTACTCGGGCATCATTTTGTACATTATTTCAAGCCAACTAATGTTTATCGGACGGAATACGAAGCTCGCGACGGGATACATTTCACTGAAGAAGGCTACCGTGCCTTCTTAGTAGCTTTGAGGAAGTCGGTCAGTTGGTTGATTAACAAAGTGAGCAAATGAACTGAAATATTTTCTCATTGACTCCACGTGAAATGAATTTTGTTCAAGAAGAAGAAATTTTTTTTAACATGATCGAATGTCTTTTGAATTTTGCAAAAAAAAAGTATTTTATTAAAAAGAAAAAAACTCATATCAAATAAGTTTAAATACTTTTTTTTTTTATTTTTATTTTCTGAAGAAATTTTTTATTATTCTAAATAAATAATCAAAAATTCTTTGTGAAACAATAAAGCTTATTACACTTTTACAGAAGATATAGTTAGGAAGTACATATATTGTATATAGTTGTAAATATTTATTTGTGTTCTTTTTTCTTAATTATTATTATTGGTTTTGGTAATGCAGCCTTGGTATATATGTCAATTGTAATCAACTCAATGTTACTTTTCTAAATGTATGTGGAAAATCACTTATTGAGACTTAGTGAATTTACACGTTTAAATGTGTCTGAGTGTTTTCTAATAAATCGTTTTAGTATACCAAGACAGTCACAAGCCTGTTTAATGCAGAGTGTCCATACCGTAATTATATAATTTCATTATCATTTAATGATTAATTATGTAATGGGCACGTGTCAGTAAACAACAATCTAACTAACAATATGATAGAATTGTAAGGTAATAAATATTTTGATAATTGGGAACTTGGCATTATCACAATTAAATTATCTAATTGGCAAAAAATATTTCATTATTAAACTTAATTTAATGTATTCAAATGGATGAACATAGCAATAAAAAAAAATTTAACTTCTATACTATGAATATTATTTTTTTTTTCCTTTACTTTTATTCCTGAATTATGTATTAAAATGGATGAACATAGCAATAAAAAAATAATTAAACGTCAATACTAAGAATATTATTTTTTCTTGGCCATGTCGTACTTGTTGTCTGTAAAGCAGCAGTCCTTACATAGGAACTTTAGAGACACATCTGACCAGGCCGATAACATTGAATCATTCATTGGGACACAAGCACTGTGAACCCAACGATCACAACTACTGCACTGAATTGTGCAATCAACACATTCTTCATCACATTGAACACAAGGATATAAAGCCATTTTAAAAATGGAAGACAGCACATATGTCTTCACATGTTTTTATACCAAATTTTAGTGACTTGTAAAAACATTAATATTTGCCAATGAATATTTGCCAATGAAAATCTTTAATTTCTTTTTGAGAAAATACACACATACGAATCATCCATTCAGCTGCTTTGTTTTTATTATAAAACAATCAAGTATAATTAATTTTTTGATTAAATTTAAATTAAATATGTGAAAATTCATAATTACGTTTCATTCAATATTGAGTAAATCGTTAAGAAAACTAATTGGTGATTGGAGTAATTACATGGCTTTGATGTACTTGTTAACTTTTCGAAACCTTACTGAAAAACAATTATTGGACAATACTCTGTATATACAGTACATTATTTAATATTTTATTTTCATAGCTTTTCCCTTTGTATGCATATGCAATCATTCTTTTATTCTTTCCATTGTGTTTTCCTTGGTCGCCATGTTGGATGTACACACTAATATTTAATGCGATCTTTATGAACTTACCTGCTTTCTATAAATCATTTTTAAGTTATAAAATACACTTATAATACAATAATATTTAATAATCAATGTTTAAATGTCACCAATATGTGCTAATATTAAAATTTAAAGTGTTATTCGGTGTTTACAAGTGTTATTTGGCTAATAACGGTGTTATTCGGTGATTCGAGGTACCGCCTGATTTCTATGAAGTTAAACTTAAGTTAAAATATTAGAAAGCTGTAAAAATTGAAAAATTTGGTTGAATATATAGGGGTTTTGAATTGATGGTCTGACACCTACACATGTTTACCTGGGGTCATTAGGGGTAAATGGCTTTATGGATCTGTTTTTACTGTGATGTAATAAGATGAGCATTATTGAAACACAAGAAATTTGTAAGATGACACAGGCCATGTGCATAATGTTACACTTGGGTCGTTATAATACATGAAGATACACATGTACTTCCTGTTCATTAAACAAGTCTGCTATGTTTTATTAATTTGCTCTACAGCCTCCAATAAAAAAATAACTATACCTTTTTGTTAGGAAAAGTTTTATCCAACTCTTTATTAAATAAAAAGAATTGTTCACCAAAATTATGTGTGTGTTTTAGCGATTGTCTTTACATGAATTGTAGTTGAAAAACAATATTAAAAAATGTATAACATCTAAAGGGATACACGAAAATCACATTGAAATGGATAAAAATGTATAAAAATGTGAAAAATACAATATTTAAACAACTGCAAAATACCGAAACACCTTTTGCAGGTATCCAACCATTAATGCATGGCTCTATTGCTTTCTCTGTTAAATTCCATTATTTCCAGCATTCATAGCCATTTTGTCTTGAGTTTACATAAAATGAAAGTAATTTCATGTCTAAACAAAACCTAAGCCTGGCTTGTGCTAGAAAAAATTCAACATACCTTTAATTACATATAAGAGCACTGGTTCTATGATATCTGGAAGGACCAAAACAGACACTTCTGATCTGAGAAACAGCCAAAATGTGCATGTCCTATTTCTATTTCAGACAACTTTTTTTTTATTCAAAGTTAGCATTCAGCAAGGGTTCAATATTGATGCCAGGTCCTTAAGCTTTCATTTCAAACCCAAAATTATCAAAAATTTTACATGTTTTGAAAGTTACAGCTAAAGGGTATGCAGGAACTATTTTGTGTGAAATGTGAACTTGTGTCTTGTATTTTTCTTCGTGAACGGGAATGAATTAGTGATTCTTTACCTCAAATGGGAAAGGCGATTTGGATCAATGTCCACACATGTATGATCAAATCAACAGAAATTGTATGATCACAAGTGCAAAATGGCGATTAAGAAACCCGATCTCAATGAAATGACAGAAATTATTTCTGTAAAAAAAAAAAAATTTGTCCTAAATCCCAATTTTTTGTTTAGGACAAATAGCTTTCAGTTTAGGTCATGAATGGCAAATATGACCTTTTCTGGACCCTTGTACACAATACTGGTTTTGTCTTGTGCAAATTCAATTGATTTTCCTTTGATTCATTTCTTATCATCTCCCCTTCAATTAAATCAAAGTTTTATCACTGTCACTTGGGTTTCAAGATAACAAGAATTGATTATATATAAAATATTAATTTGTCATAAAAGTTTCTTTTTACTATATATAGACTGCTGGTTCATTGAAGAAGCACAGAAAATCAACATCAGCAAGATTGTTCAACAGCATTCCTCGTCGCATGTGTTATCGTCTTTGTGCATTAGTTCCGCAAGATCTCCTTGAAGAAGGGTATGTGCTCAAGATATATACTTTGTACTATAATAAACTATATATGGAATTATGGATTCAAAGTTGGTAATATCAAACTGATCAAAATACATCAACAGCAGATTTAAAAACATAGAACTTGACAGAATGAGATCTTGTAGACATGGTTGGAACTTGGAAATATCAGTTATATGGAAAATTGCATTGTTAGCGTTCTCCTGTGTTCAATATCATAGGTTTTTATCAGCAATGTCTCAGACAAGTTTGAAAAATCAGTGCCGATAATTTTTTTTAAAAGAGTTATGCCTTTGGAAATATTGATTATTTGGAAAGCCCTCTCACATGTACAATTTTCCCCACATTTTTATCAAATTTATATCAAAGGTTTATATCAGCAATATCTTGGACAAATTAAAAAATCAGTGCAGATAAAATATTTTTAAAAGAGTTATAAATGCCCTTGTAAATATTAATTTTATCAGAAATTGCATTGCATTTGCTCTCAAGCCTCATTTCTTGAAGAAATTTATTTAAGAAATGAATGCTTCTTTTTGTAATGTTATTGGGGCGTAAAAGTGTTGACAGAAGCACATTTTTTTCCGCGCTTCATTCTAAAAATGTGTGCACAATCAACACTTTTACACCCCAATAAAATTACAAAAAGAAGCATTCATTTCTTATAATTACATTAATATTTTTATGCTAATAAGACCATGAAAATTTTTTTTTATCGAGTTTTTCTTTTATTTACCTGTGCACTTTTTTGTGGAAGTGTGTGTCATCATGAAGGTTACATTTCATTTTGATATAAAGGTTTATTTTTGAATGACAGGGATTGTTGTTAGCCAATCAAACTAACGGATTCTCGTGAAACATATACATGTACAATGTATGTACAGTGTACATGTAATGTAATTATATAAAATTTAAAAAACAAAAAAAAAGTTTTATTTAGTTATTGTCTTTGGACAGATTAAATATGTGCAACACAGGATACATTGGAACTCTGTTCTTTTATTCTTTTATTTTATCTTGACAGTCACATTTATGTCCTAAAATTTCTAGGAATGTGAATATTTTTTATTTTTCTCTGAATAAATTTGTTTCATTTTTATCAATAAATCAAACAGGGAACATGAAATAGCTTTTTTTTGTGAGTTATGATATTTAATATAATATCTGTTTCTTGTTCTATGATTGATTTATTATGCCCCCGCCGTAGCGGAGGGGGTATTAAGGTTTACCCTTGTCCGTACGTCCCAAAGTTGGTTTCCGTTCTCTAACTTTAGTTTGCGTCAACCAGATTTTATGAAACTTATACACAATGTTTATTACCACAAAACACAGATCAAGTTTGAATTTTGGTGGCTTCACTATAACCATTCTAGAGTTATGCCCCTTTACAAATGGAAAAATTGCTGAATTTTTCGTTTCCGTTTTCTAACTTTAGTTTGCCTCAACCAAATGTTATGAAACGTATACACAATGCTTATTACCACATAATACCAATCAAGTTCAGAAATTGGGTGGCGTAACTTTTACAGTTCTTGAGTTATGCCCCTTTATAAACATAAAAACTGCTGAATTTTTTCGTTTCCGTTCTCTAACATTAATTTGCCTCAACCAAATGTTATGAAACTTATACACAATGCTTATTACCACATAATACAGATCAAGTATAAAATTGGGTGGCATCATTTGTACCTTTCTTGAGTTATGCCCCTTTATAAACATAAAAACTGCTGAATTTTTCGTTTCCGTTCTCACTTTAGTTTGCCTCAACCAAATGTTATGAAACTTATACACAATGCTAATTACCACAAAATACAGATCAAGTTTGAATTTTGGGTGCGTCACTTTTACCGTTCTAGAGTTATGCCAGTTTACAAATGGAAAAATGGCTGGAAATTTTCGTTTCTGTTCTCTAACTTAAGTTAGCCTCAAGCAAATGTTATGAGACTTATACACAATACTTATTACCACAAAACTCAGATCAAGTACAAATTTGTGTAGCGTCACTTTCACTGTTCCTCAGTTATGTCCCTTTATAACTTTATATGATATGCAAGCAGGGGCATCATCTGTGTCCCATGGACACATTCCCCATTTATTGATAAAATCAAAACAATTTATTTTGAGAAAATAAAAAGTATTCTCTTTTCCTACATGTAAAGTGTTAAAAGTTACTGCATGTTTGTTTGATTTTTAAATTTATTCATTTCAGTTCTGAATTCTTTCATTTTTGTGGGCCCTTTATGGCCTTTGTCCTATGATATGAGCTAATATAAACAAAAACCAATTTGAAAAGAGTACATGATATGATGTATATTCTACCTGCTAAGGGCAACGTCACAATTTTCCTTTAGTTAGTATAAACAGTTTATTTATATTGAAAAATAGGATCGTTATATTTTTGATAAACCTTGATAGCAATTAGATAATATCAATGTGCATCTTACAGACTGGTTTTTCTTGGATTTACCAAATGTGGCCAGTTTGTGGTATCATATTCCTGTCAGTTGCTGGTTGCTGCAGAACATTCTACATTACCTGTCTATGTATATAAACTACAATGGTGGAGATTTATACCAAACAGTCCATTACATATGGTAGGGAAATAGGTTTAGAAAATCAAAATAACAATTTTGTATCAAATATTAGACATTTAATAGGCATCTTAATGTTGCAACCAGAGGCTCATTGTTACATCTTGTAGGGTATAAAGCTGATAATGTATATTTAATAACAACTTCATATTTTGGTTTATTGGTAAGTCAGTATTCACAGATAAATAAGTACACATTATTCATTTACATTTTCACATGCAACACATATTTTTAAGCACATCAAATACATATTCTGTGCAGGTTATACATCTGCACTCTGCATGAAACAAAGATATATATATATATATCTCATTATTAAGAATGTACATTTGTTTTCAGCAAATAACTAATAATGTGCTTATACATGATATATTTTGTCATACATGTACATTTAAAATCTTGGACAATGAATAATATGAATAGTATAATGTAAAAGTTCTTCATTTTTTTGGTTATGTATTTATTGGCATAAATACATAAATACATATAACAATATCATACATTTATAAGCTTTAAGTAATAAGTCGACAGTATTCTGAAAAGACATGACAAGTACATGTATATATAATTGGTTTATTTTCTTTCTCTCTGAATCATTTGACAAAGTTATAATATTTATAAACCTAGGTGGGCTGGATTTTGAGTATATCTATATATATGTAACTTGAAGTATACTTGTTTTTAATTTTTGATTATTCTATTAGTTGGAGCCAGAGGTTCCCACGAAAATAAGCTTTCTGAAGGACGCCTCCGGGTGCGGGAATTTCTCGCTGCATTGAAGACCTGTTGGTGACCTTCTGCTGTTGTCTGTTCTATGGTCGGGTTGTTGTCTCTTTGACACATTCCCCATTTCCATTCTCAATTTTATTTCTTCAATGCTTATTTTCTTATTTTTATATAATAAGATTTTTTTGAAAAATCTTTTATGCTACCATATTTACTTACACGCTTTGCATTTATGTTCTGAAAATAAAATATTTTGTTAGCAATAAAATAAGATATCTTAAGTTAATTTTTCATATTTGTTCTAAGGTCCCAAATAAACTAATATTTGGCCGTTAGTTTTCTCAATTGAATAGTTTCATATTTTTTATGTCAGGGCCTTTTATAGCCAAATATACGGTATGTTTTTTTTCTCATTGTTGAAGGCCATACAGTTGCATATAATTGCTTCAATCCACGTCATTAGAACTTTGATGGATAGTTTTCTCATTGGCAATCATATCTCATCTCCTTGTTTTTATATTCTTAAGTCAAGTGGCAGTTCAATTTGCACTTTTGTAAATATCCCTTATTAAGTTCTTTCCACAAATCAATTTTTTTGGAATAGTCTAGAATATGTGTTCTATGGTTTCTATTGAGTCCTCAAAACAGTTCATTTATTGCTTTGTGTTACAGTACTTTTATTATGTAAAGATATTCATTTGTCCTAAATATTCTGTGAGTGATAATATCTTGTAGCCAATATAGTTTTGAACTTTATATCAAAAGGCAGTCTATACTCTATGTAAAAGTACTATATTACTTCACACAAGAGTTATTTTTTGAATTCTAATATTTTCAGGTTTCTGAAGTAAGACTGTTTGGAGAAGAAGATGTCACACAAGATTTGTTTATCACATTTTGTCAGTGGCAGGATGATAGTTCTAAAGTCCTAGTCTTGGGTCAGAGGTTAGTTCAATATAAATTCCAGCACAGTACTCCGTTGATTGTGCTATTTATTAAATACTATTAAGTTGGTAGAATTTGTTTCTCTAATAAAAATGGTCTAAATTAACATACATTTAAAGGTTACCATCATAAATTGATTGACTAATACAATATGTCTGTGTCTCAAAACTCTAGCAATATGTTTTTACAGTTTAAGATATTTAGATACCAGAATAGTTGTCTAATCTGTAATTTTACAGATTGTGTCCTATTTCCATCCTTCCTTCCATTCCATTTTGTTGCAAAGCTTGAATGGGGGCATTCATGTCCTCAGACAAATTCTTCTTTTATTTTTTTAGAGTATTCAGGATAAATATGGAAGTATGCTATGATGGTCTCAAAACCTATCTGGATTTAAAATAAGTCAATTAGATAGTTTTAAAAGCTTACAGAATCTTAGTATTTTAATGTACCATTGAAAGTTTCCCCTGACTTTGCAGTAATTTCAACCTCAACTTGATTACTTCATGACAATTACATTGTGTATTTCAGTTTACCAAGTGAAGATAGAGATAGTTGTTGTCAGTGTTACATGACAATTACATTGTGTATTTCAGTTTACCAAGTGAAGATAGAGAAAGTTGTTGTCAGTGTTACATAACAATTACATTGTGTATTTCAGTTTACCAAGTGAAGATAGAGATAGTTGTTGTCAGTGTTACATGACAATTACATTCTATATTTCAGTTTACCAAGTGAAGATAGAGATAGTTGTTGTCAGTGCTACATGACAATTACATCGTTTCCTACCTCCTACAGGTGCTCATTTTGTCAGCTGCTTCAGACAGGTAAATTATTCTCCTTTCTGGATAAAGGGAGTAGTATATTAATTGAATTACATTTGATACAAATGATGTTATACGCAATACTGGTCGGTAATTTCGTTGGTCTTGTATGCCTGTCCATTGAATGTTATGTTAATGGAATGAATGGACTTACCACACAAACGAAATACCATTGATGAAGGTACCCTTTTACAAAGAATGAGTTTGTTTCTGTCAGTTGAGTTATTGAAATTCAGAAATTATTGCATACATTTAATTATTGCGATTTAAAGAATGAACAGAAGTGGGAGTTTAATTATTGTGATTTTAGGAAAAACTACACACAGATATATGAATCAAAGGCATTGATTTAATGTTAGAAAAGAAGCAAACCATTTCATTGTTCTTTGTACATTTCTAAGTATATATGCTGTTATTAGGGCCACATAATCAATCAGCAGAAGGCCTTTAGTAATCAGCTAGTGTTTGCATGCGTCTGTCCATCCGTCTTGTCAAAAATTGTTTCAGCTCATAACTTTGAAACCTTGTGAAGTTTTGTAATGAAACATGGTAGATTATTTTCTACTTCTAGAAGGTGTGTAGTGTACAAGGAAGAAAAAAAACACTAAAAGTAATGGTCAAAAACATTGTTCAACTTAGTCACCCCCTGTGCATATATATGTTAAAAATCGTTTCTGCTTATAGTTAGGTAATAAAACGTAGTGCTCTTGGCACACCGACGTCTGTTTATTTTATTCATGTCATCTAATTATATACTGTCAATTGAATATAATTTTTTGTTTTCTGCAGCACCAAAAGAATTACAGACAATATCAAAGTGCCTTGCTCATAAATATGCCTTTCATACAAAGTTTGAATTGACTCCACCTTACCCACCGTTTTGTCCTAGAACTCAGTTAAAGATTGATGGAGTAGCAGTGGTAAATACTGGTGATTCCATTGTTGCTCTTGCTGTATGTGTTGGTGATTCTTGTAAACATTCACCCATGTGTAGAATGGACTGTTCAGTAGTGGAAAGTATGGATGATCCTGGTTCCACAGATGGTGTCATATCTGATACTATTAAATATACTGCAGTAAGGAGTCCAGCCTCTCCATCACATTTATGTAGTGAATGTAGAAAGAGACCATTTTGTAAACATGAGTATGTGTTCTCTCCCTCGCCTAAACATTTTTCTGATGAAAGTCAGAAGGAGAATATGGAAGCATATTTGTTAAAAGAATATAGCAAGCAAAAGTCGCCAAAATCTCCTCGTGTCATTGATTCAAATCAACGAAAAAATGGTAAACATGGATCCACAGGAATGAGTTCACAAGAGTGGTTTGAAAGCATGGGGGATGAAAATCAATCAAATGGAGTATTGACTGCTCATTCATCATCTGTTATTCATGAAATTCATGATGGTGGATCTAATATACATAGTATGGAGGTTGACCAGGATAGAATCTCCAAAGACAGGTGCTTAAGATCACCAAAAGATGAAAATTCTTGTGATTCAAAAAGTAGTGTTCAAAGCAGTATTTACTTGCCTTCTAAATCTAGTCCATTGCATGTGTCAGAAAATTATGACTGTTCAGACAATCTAGTAGCACATAGTCCTCTCCGTATTACTACCAATACCCAGAATTCTCAATCACGTCAGGCATCACAACGATCATTTTTCTCACCGTCCAACAGCACAAGTAGTAGGAGTACTACAGACAGTCTTGTGTTACAAGTAAATGATTCGAGGACAGTAACGTTTTCTGTAAGAAAATATACACAGTCACTTGAACAAGATGATGAATCACAAGAGGTTGTTGAAGGTAGGTTACACTGGCTTCCTTAAAACATACAGTACAAATTTCGCGAAAGGCTTCCCAAACTCCGAACACCAAGTTTTTTCTTGGTGTGACACCAGGAAACTCCGACATCCCTCCCTAAATTCTCGGAGAAATTTGGGAGTATTCCCTCCGACTTCCGCGTAGATTCGCTACCTTTTGTTTATTGTATTAGCGACATCTCTCCCAGTCCGGTGTGACGCGGTGTCACACCAGGTAATTAATTGCCATAATCCTTCTGATCTATACCGGCACGCGACAGTTAAGGTATGTGAGATTACTTATGTAATTAAACAATTGTATTTCCTGTCTATTGATAATCAGGTTATATTTCTGATTGCTTGAAACAAATAAAAGATTTAAAAGCAAAACGTTGTTGTTAATTCTTTCAATTACACTGTACATTTAAAAATAGTTTTATTAAAAAAAAAACTATATTTGATTTTTACCTCGTTTTTTTTTTCTAGTCAGTAAATTAATATTTAATTTACAAAAGAGACATACTTGTGTAAAAATAAAAGGAGACTTACGCTGAATAAAAGTGGGCAGTTTAAAGGAAAATTACATGTCTCAAAGTTTTGTATACAAGTAAAAAAGAAAATATTCACTATTCGTTTGCTAATAAGTCCACCCCATTTTCATTTTACGATTACATAATTGCTTGAAACAAATTAAAGATTTAAAAGCAGAATGTTGTTGTTAATTCTTTCAATTGCATTAAAGTTTTATAACAAAAACTATACTTGATTTTGACCTTGTTTAAGTTCATCGGTAAATTATTTTATTTACGAAAAGAGACATACTTGCGTAAAAATAAACAGAAACTAATGCTGAATATAAAAGTGAGTAGTTTAAAGAAAATTACGTGTCTCAAAATTTGTATATGCAAGTAAAAAAGAAAATACTATTCACTATTCGTTATGCTTAATAAGTCTACGGCATTTTCTCTTTACGATTTGTTGGCATTACTTTAGGATAAATAATAACATTTCGGCTACAACAGGAATACTTCTATAGCTGCATCAACTCGTCGTTGCATAATATTCATTTACGCACAATGTATGTAAACTTGTGTGTTGTATAAAGGACAGTGATTTTAATTTTTTTTAAAAGAAATTAATTGCCGTGGGAAGACGAAACACATCTCAGTGATCAACAGTCCGTGGTTGAACTTTGAACTTGACTTCGCTCACAATATTGAATGCTAAAAATAGTGACATCAATTTTGTCCACGAGATTTTTATTTGGCGGGAAATATTATCACGTAACAGTAAACTCAGGTGACCTTTCTGGATGACCGTGGGAAAATTCATTCGGGGTTTAAATTTGCTTTGGAATGATTGACATTTGTATGCCTTAAGATTGAGGCTCTAGAAGGTCCTTTTACAATTGATTAACCGGAATCTAAAATATAATTCTTTTCTGAATAAACGAACACCAGCCTTTTAATTTTACGTTTCTCAGTCAACACAGGACATAAACCTGGACATTATTTATACGTCCATGGTCAACAATATACATAAATGGTAGATGAAAACAGGATGCATGTCGTTCAGTTCCTGTTGGGCGTTGGTAGAGATCCTCTGTGAAAAATGTGTAGATCCTAAAAATCCGATCCACATTTTTTTCACATATTTCTTTCTTGAAGAACACGATATAATTTCATTTAAATAATCTATAGTATCATAGTATTAATTGTTGAAATGCTTCTTATTTTTATTTCGCCAAGGACTTTTAACGAGCAGTAAAATACGGATTGCGCCCATCCAATTTTATTTTAAATAATAAAGGATCAATAACAGATTATAACAGAGATAAACAACACATGATTTTTTTTTCTATATATAATTAAATTAGGTTGTGATTATTGTGTTGTGTCTGGGCGGGGAATGTCTCTCAGTTTTGTGTTTTTATGAATATAGGGCACATTGCATACAAAACGTTTTCCCTTTGTTCAACATAGTTGTCACTTTACAGTTTCTTTTCTGAGTTCAAATATTTCAAGTCGGTAATCTACCGAGGTAGTGAAACACAATATTTTACATTGCAAAATAAATTGAAAGTAACAGAGTTCACTTGTTGATCCGATAAATTAACTCTTGGGTTTAGATTGGACAAATTACCGTAAAAACATCATTTTGTTTTAAGCCAGTTGATATTTATATATTGAACAATTAATGAACCGGATATTGCTCACTGAGTAGGTCATAAAAGATTCTAATTGTAGTAAAATCGTCTTTGTTGAAAAAACAAAAATTATGACCTGACCGGACTATAATAAAAATACAAAATAAGTGTTTTATTCGTATTTTTATACGTTTGTACGTTTTATTTCAAATGACAATGACATGGGGCAAATACATACAAGAATAATTATCTTATTTTGAAAAAAAATGTCACATTTTTATCTGTCAAAGAAAGGAAATTTTAATACCGTGTTTTAAAGCACACAGGTGCAATCAAGATCGATTAAATGTACAAAGGTAATAAATCTGGCTAATCCGATTATGTTGTCACGCGTCATTAATTTTCAGTACATCCGATGGGCAATAAACCAATTAACAGCCACGCGGTGTTGGGAGAGAATCTTTGGAGGAAATTGGGAGTATAATCCGTGATTCGCGGTGTGACACCGCTACACTCCGAAATCCGTGATTAGAGTTCGCGATTACAAACTCTCTGTGCGTACTGTAGGTTCTAAGGTCAAATATTTGCATACATTTTTGCTGTGCAGTAGATAGGCACATGTACATGTAAACTTTAATAATGATAAATTTCAGCTGAATTCAGGTAGGTAGCAAAACAATCTTTGCTAGAAATCTCATTGTCTTTCCTAAAGTCATATATGTTGTACTGGAAATGATATAACATGTATAATCATGATCGATTGTTCAAATAATCTTGATTTTGCATTGGTGAATTGTACCTAAACAGTTTCATATATTGTACTGAAAATATATACTCCTGATCGATTGTTCAATATATATTTACATCATAGAACATAAAAGATAATTGACAAACAATAGTACACAAACCACACATGTACATAGGCAACAAATAAAAAATGGGGGAAAATTTTAGTGCTATTGACAGGTTGACAAGTCACAGTATCTGATGTCATAAACAAAGAAATTTTGACAGAATGATTAAATCATTAACTTTCTGAATGTCTTCAGATGACTTGGACTTGGCCTATCGTAGTGTGTTACCTGTCGATGTACAAGGTCCTGAGGGAAGATCACTTCTACTTTCACAGAAAAAAGATGTTAATCAGGTTGGTTTGATGATTTATTGCAGCAATCAAAAATTGTTTTGAAACTTATGTATTAATGCATTTACTATATACATGTAGTAGCTTACATGCATATCACATTATGATCTTGAGTTGCAATTACAAAGTTTGCTATGACGTATGAACTATGGAATGATCAACAATTTATCCCTTCTGAGTTACAATTACATTATGGTCATGAACAGACAGGGAAAATAATGGTGGAGGTGTTTGAGTAAAAAAATTCATCAAACTTATACAATGGATTATATATCTGTACAATTTTGTTTAAGTAGTGTATGAATCATAGATTTGAATGTCGAATCAATTTCAATTTTTTAACAAATTTATATGAATAAAAAGGAAATGTGGGGTATATGTTACTGAAACATCAATTACACAATTAATCAAAAGATATTTAGAGGGTGGAAAAGACAGAAGACAGGTATTCATTATACAATGTGTCAAACTCAAAATCATCCAAAGTCTTGTAAAAAAAAAACTGAAACTATAAAAGATCTGCCATCAGCACCAAATTCTCCTAATAACAAAAATCATTTATAAGATATGACAAAAGAGCTATGACAAGGTTTCTGGGAAAATACATGGATATTTGACTTTCTCTTAATGTCAATGCATACATCTATGGAATTTGTAAATAAAACCACATGACTGACCAGTAATTTTCGATCAAAATCTCATGCAGAATGACCAATTTACTTTATTATAAAAGGAAGATGAATTAATAATAAATGACATTCATAATATTTTATTTTATTTTAATTGGATTCTTTTATCAGTCTTTTTATCTTGTAAATTTGATATAATTTAACCCTTACTGGACATTAGCTAAAGGACAAATACTTATGTAATGTTTGTTAAATTATTTTAAAATATGCTATTTATTTTGACAGAAACATTTAAAGGTTGTACAGTTAACATTTGATGTTGAGCATTACCTCGAGGAAGTGATTGGTCAAAAAGCAGAGTGGGGTCATCGATATGTTTCTTTTACTAACTATGATCTACAAATTCTTGATGTAAGCTAAGAAAACATTAAATTAATATCTAGATGCATATCCTCCAGTAAATGTTACTGAAAATTAAAATAAAGATGACAGTTTCAACATTCTTTGTCACTGAGACACATTTATCTAAATAATTTTCAATTTTATGTACAGGAATTTTTATAATTAACTTATACTTGCTACTCTAGTCTTTGGTGACTACAAATGTAGATGTTTGCTTTTTTGCATTCATCCTGAAAATGAATAAAAATTTGCCCCTGGAATCAAACAACAATCAATGATTTAACTTTTGCACTTTTAATGTACACCCTTTTGAGATGCTTGTTTGATTCTTAATTACAGGTATGTGCAGATAGAAATTTAGTGGTTGGAAAAGTCATTGTGTTATTACATGCCAGGGAAGAATTGGACCTGCCAAAGAAAGTTAAGAGATGGTAAGGAATATATATTATTAAATACAATTTCCAGAAAAAAATATAATTAATTTACACTTTATGTATGTTTCTGTGTATACAATGGATATTCTGATTACTAGCGCCCATTGGATTTTTCACTATAAACATCAAATTACACGACTTGTATCTTTAATAAGTAAGGAGATGTAGGATATTTGTTAGCCAGGCAGAAATTGAACAATATCAATAATAGAAAACAAATAACATCCCGAGATACAAATACAGTCTTCTTTGATAGATAATTTTTTTTATCAAATATCAATTGCTACAAATTATGAATGGATTCAACAGAGACAGCAAAAGATTTTACCATGTACACCATATCATCTGATGACAATAAAAACACTGACAAGGATTTTGACTTGGGACAGTCATATAACACCAGATGTTCTTGTTATTGACAATATAAACATTGCTGTAATTATTGAGTGTTCCAAAGTATGGAATTAACAATACAGGAACTAATAAGTGTTTAAAAATGCATGGTATTTAGTTATAAGTGTTCTAGAAGTTTCACATACATGTTCATGTTGTTTTCAGGCATTTTATTTTTTTTGCTTCAGGGAATTTCAGGTTTTCATGTTGTAATGTTAGGGGAAATTTTAGCGATAAATAAATTCAAACTTTAAAAATGTCATAAATTAACCAAATATGGAATCTGAGCATAAAGTTGATTATGGAAGGAAAAGAAAAATTGTGGGTTTCATTCCATTATTTAAAACTGCATGCAAATTATCTAATGTAAATTGTGTAATTTCAAATTATGTGATTCCTTTGTAGCAAAAATTCTATCAAGATGTACCAGACCAGCTTTTGTTTTACCTGGAATTTAACAAATGGTGGGTTGTTGTAATAGTATTATAGGCGCGTTTTGAGTGTAATTCCTGCTTGAAAAAATTGTCACAATTTACTCCAATAGTACTGAACAGAATGACTTCATATTTGGTCAGCTGGTTGACAGTGATGAAGTATCATTTGTGTGCTTTTCAGATCTGTCAGACAGCTTCTTTATTTTTTTCCATATTTTGAATTACATGTTTTGACGTGCTTAGCATGACAACATGTGCATTTTTGTTTCAATAATTATATTTTTTATTGTAGGATAATTTATTGTTTGATTCATATTTGAAATATAAAGTGTCAACTTCTATGGCATCATTTATTAGTCCCCTACCGACGAAGTCGAAGGGGACTTTAGGTTTGCACTCTGTCTGTCTGTCTGTCCCTCTGTCCGTCTGTCCATCTGTCAGTCCGGCAAATCAATTTTCCAGACTTTTTTTCTTAATGCTTGAAGATATTGATTTGATATTTGGTGTATTGTTTTATCATGACAAGTTACAGGTCAAGTTCGATTTTCACGATTTTAGCTTTTTTCCTTCTTCAGTTAAAGCCCTTTCCCTAGTTTTTTCTTGGTTACCAATTTTCATGGATTATGGAAAGTTTGTATTTTCGTAGATATTTAATTTCATGGTTTTTCTAAAGTCTGCATACAAGTCAGAAAATTTGTACGCCATTGAACACTTAAATTTGTGGAAATTAGTATCCAACAATATGTTAAATCCACAGTACTTTGTTTAATTAATAAATTTTTCCTTTTTTACAACAATAAGCATTTGCCTCAAGTGTAACACCAATGTATGGAAATAGTGTTGATGAAATAGGTGGGCAGAGTTAATAATTCTATTCTTGGGTTGCTTTTGCATAAATTGGAACTACATGTTGGAATCAGATGATTCTTCTTGCAGCCAATAAAAAATCAGTATCTATGAATTTTAACACTAATTTTATATATTAGCAAAAGAACTTTAAAAGTTGACATTTTATATTATTTGAGAGATAAATTATTGTGCTAGGGTAGTTGTATCAATGAAATGGACAAAAGAAGAAATTTGTAGGTCATACCTTTTTGTTTACACTTAACTTGCTCTATGTGTTGCAGATCAATCTGGTCAGCATATCAGACATTATGAGTATGTGGGTGTGTAGATGATAGGGTTGCTTTTTAAGTGTGATGTGTATAGATTAATGACCTATCTCTATTGGTACATGTATATTATTCAGCCATTATAAAATTTTCATGACATTTTAAGTGTCTATTCTTGAAAAAAATCAGCAAGTTTACCGGACAGATCTTGAAAAATTTATTTTTAAATTTTGTAGGGTTTTATGACACAGTAAACATTGACAGATTAACTGAGGTCAATGAGACAGAAATGAGAAGGTATTTATTTATATATTCAGTGTTCTCCCCAGGATTTTTGGATAGCACCAGGGTAATGCGTGTGGACAGCTTGGTGAAATGATTCATACAATCAGTTGTGTCGCGTAGTGTGGCTTAGCTATATTTCTAGTTACTGCAGTATGTCTCTTGTTTTGTTTTAACACTGTGGTACTGTGTTATGTAGACATTGAGTCAGAAAATTATTGGTAAAAAAAGAAGTAAATCAATAAACAGTTTGTATACTTTAATATTTTTTTTAAATAAATGAAACATGATTCATTACAAAATATTCATCTAAATTTAAAGTAATCAATTCTTTTATAAAATCCATGATCAATAAAAATAAAATATCATTCAAAGAAGACCAAAAATGTTAAAATTTAAAAAAAAACTTTATATTTCTAGAAAGAAAATTGTTGTATGTGAAAGGATTCTTGTCATAAGGAGATATAAAATAACAAGAACAAATATTGATTTATTGTTTGAACCAGATTCTATCTTAAATTTAAAAAAAATTTGCCATAGATTTCTTGAAAAAATATTAACCTTTCTTGTCTTTGGTGATAATTAAACATTGATACAGGCTTAATACTGCACTGAAATCTAAATCTTTATTTGTCATGATCCATTTAAAAAGAATTCCTAATCTATAAATTTATCTTAGGTCTATAAGTTACCATATTCAATGTCAACAACAAAGTCTCCCTATTTTTCCCGCCTGAATGACAGGAAGTAGATATAAATAGATTTAACATGTGCTTATGGATAAAATTTGCAAGATTACTTCTGTTATTCATTAATTGTGGATATAGATACCCAGTTTGAAGGTACAGTCATACATTTTATTTATCAAATAGAATAGATTGCAATTAATTGCAAATAAACTTTAATATTCTACGTGAACTAACTGGGTCATGTGATATGTACATATGTCCGTCCCCTTCAATGATACTATAGTTTGAAATCCGATATCATGCACTAACTATGTCATAATTAAAGAAAATGTTGGCCATGGTTAAATCAGACATATTATATTATACTAATGAGCCAACTTTATTATGTACAAAAAATGCACAGGCGTGTGTGCAACTATCTGGTTCACACTGTTTGTGTACAAAGTATTTACAGACTTGTCACAGGTCAGCGCTTGGGTTGTGAGTGAAGCCATAAAATAGTTATCAGTGATCATAAAGTTATGAACTCCTAATTAAACACAAAAGAATAATGTAACAAGTGTTAATTACATCGATTAAATCCAATCAACAAGGTTAACCTCATAAGGTAAATCGATCACATGGTGTCAACAATCTGGGTAAACTGGTTTGAACTGGTCAAATTTCACCTGGAATTTTATACCGCACGGAAAAGATTTAACAAATCGCTTAAAACTTTACCGATTTTTTTAATGAAAATTTTAGCACCACGGTAAAAAATTATACATCGCGGTAAGACCGATACCACCACGGTCAAAAATTATACATCGCGGGTCCGCGGTCCTTTAAGGGCCTGGGAAGAACACTGATATTTTTTTAATAAGCTATCGATGAATTTTAATGCATTTATCGTTTTTATTATGCACTGTTTACAGGACGTTTTATGGTATACCTTTGTCACTCCAACCGTCAACATGTTGGACTGCAACTCAAAAATGCTTTAACCAATTTTCATGAAACTCTGGTATATTGTTTATATGTATTGACGTAAGCTCCCTCGATCTTTATAAATTTTAGATTTTACATTTCCGAGTTGTGGGATTTTATTGATAAAAAATGGGATATTTTCCAGTTTTCTGACAATAAATCAAAAGCTTTGAGCAGTTTTCAGGAAACTTTGGTGACTGGTTTATATCTATAATAATAAGCTCCCTTTAGTTTTTGTTTATAAATTTCTGATATGACATTGAGGAGTTATGGAACTTAATTCTTTGAAAAAGTGACGGGTGTATCATGCGCTTATGGCGCAGCTCTTTATTTTATTTTAACTAGAAGTCAATTGTTTTAGCAGTACAGGAAACCAAAGGATAAATTGTTCTATAAACATTTAGATAGCTGCATTACATCAATGTTGATATTTTTAACAGGAAAGAATGGAAGCCTGGACATCGAGAATGTGCCTTATTGAGACGTCAGATGTTTGTCCCTCAGTCCACACATAGATATATAAATGTTCTCACTAATGAAGCTGTGTTCAAAGGTATGTTCATTAGTTAAGTTACTTAGGAACATTTGGTAATCTAGAAATCTTGGAACAGTGTGCGGAGTAAAAATGTTGTTCCTGTAAGAGTAAGAGCAAGTACTGGTTTGTTTCTAGTCAGAAAAATGTTTCCATGTTGAGTGAAATTTATTCTGTAGATTGCTAGCTTTTTAGAAAAAGTCTGAACTCATTGTGTTAGTCTAGTTCTAAGCAGGCTATATTCTTATCACATTAATATATCATCCTAGAAATACATATAGTATTTGCTGAAAGATGTTTTTTAAGAGTATGTCTGTGATCTAAAAAAATTCCATGTGTGCTTTTTAATGTGAAATTTGTAGCAAAATGTTGATTTTCAATATCTATTAAATGAAAAATCTTTAATTATATCCCACTCTAAATGGGGGTGTAATTCAGTTCGTCATATTTCTGTTGTATTTTCTCAGCAACAAAGACATAGCTTCCTGAGATATATGTAGCTATTCTTTTTCCTGTTTTCTTAGAAATTGTCTCTTTAAAGTGTCATCATACACATGTTTAAGAATTAAGTAAGTTTATAAGTTCACAACATTGATCAGGCACTTGACATCTAGTTTATTTAATTAGTAGAAGGCTGAAACTATGAATGAAAAACCAGTAAACCAGTTACTTTGGCATATACTATGAAATTTGTATTTGTGGTGTTTTTTGCAGATAAATTTTAGGTGTTCAGATAATTTTATTTCAAGGTAACATCATTTCTGGAATAATACACAATTCATCTTATTATTGATACATTATTTTTATGGTCGATATAAATAATTTTCATTATTTATATTTCAGGAAAATCATTGTCAATGATAGTCTCCCCTCAGCATTTCGTTGCTATACTAATGTGATTCTGATGGTGCCAAGAGAAGACTGCAGTTATCAAAATTTTTTGTTACAAGACTTATCAATGAATTGACACATGACTTTTTAAGTTGTAGACCAAGACTTTGTAATTAAGCAGTGTCATATTTTAACTCAAACATCAGTGTTCAAATTTGTCAAATAAAAGTTTTCATTTGAAAATGATCCTCCGTAATAAATAATGCCACATCATTTAAGGGATCTCAGAAAACTACAAATACAAAACTTGAAGGAATCAGATCCTTATTTTATAGGAACTTGAAAAACATGGAAACCACTTAAATTACAATTCCATTGTGGCATCTTAGATGGTACAAAAGCCATCCAACTTGGAAAATTGTAAGCTCAGTTTATAACACATTTATGTATTGGGAGATCTATATGACTGCATGCCATTGATTGCTTTTAAATTTAGCACTAGTAATTGTTATTCCATGACCAAACTGTCAGATTTGGAAAAAGTGCAAAGTATTATGAATTTGACTTTGTGTGTTCAGCAGTTTCCTTGGATGGAGTTATCTGGTTAAGTTGCTAATGCAAATAATGATTTGGTGACCACTTACAAAGTCAAAGATTTTAATTGTGTTTGGTTAATGGGTAACCACATGGCATCTATGTTACACCATAGATCCATATAGGAAATCGCACAAACTTAACGAAACAAATGTGGACTGAACTTGGCCAAAAGATTAGAAATGGACCAAAAATACCTGCAAAAAGTTTTATTGAAAAAGTACAAAGTAACATAAAAGAAATAACAGACAATAAATTTTCTATAAATAACAAATTCAAATACAACTTGACAAATACCCAAATTTTTGTCAACTATATCTATAGATATATATAAATAACAATATTTTACAGTTATTATAAATGGACAGCATGAAAAAGTATCACAGTTATCTGTTGGATAAATTGTTGATTAAAATGCAATTAATCATATTTTACACATAACACTGTGTACATGGAATAACATTTAGATACCACTCACTGAAGTGTTTTTGTTAACAATAAAATACACAACTATGGTGTCCCATTTACCTTAAAATGTGAATTATGATACAAATGCAGGAAAATTTAACTACATTTTGAAATAGTTTGACTTGTGTGTGCAGTAATGCCAATTATTTATATCCTGATGTCTTTTGTTTTTTGTTTTAATTTAGTGAAATATCATCCACAAAAATTAAACCCCCAACAAAATTTTAATCTACAATGAATTTTACTTTCACCTACTGAAATACACAAAATTAATCCCTATGAAATTGAATTTAGAGAGAAAAACAGGAAATCTAAAGCCAAAGAAAATGAATGTTTCTACAGTATTTCACACTCTGAGGTAAATAGTCTATCAAATTTCAGTCTTGTGTAAAGAACCTACTGAAAGGTTCCAGTTTTGAACATTTCTATACATTATAAAAATTAGTAATGCACCATATTGCACAAACAAAATGTCTTGTAAAATTGATTAAATGATTCTTATATATAAATATTTACAAAATAAATTTTGTAAAGTTCATAAACATCAATGTCCAATTCTGTTTATACTTATTCAGATAATACAATGTATATGGACCAGCCCTATTCAGCTCAAGCTTTCCACATCTTTCAGTTGAGGTCACTCTTATGATTAGTACAACTTTTGTTAATTCAACAATAGAAATGTTATATACAAGCATATGTCACTTGTATTAATTTGAATTGACGGGATTAATTTCACATAAATTTTAATTATCAGATGTTTTATTATGGACAAATCAAACTAGAATATGTATCCATACACTATCACATTTCCATGTTCATTTAACTGTGGCATGTATTCAAAAAGTTAACATCATAATGTAGTAACTCTCAAATTGAAGTGACCACAACTTCATGGTCAACTACCTTAATCAAAACCTTTGTCCTGATTGGACGGATGAACAGACATAAATATAAATATATAGAAATTTTTACTTTTTAGTTTTATTTGAATTCGTGGTTTACCTATACCTAAGAAATTCACCCAAAATTGGTATCCCACAAAAAATAATAAAACCACAGTACTTGACTTCTAGAATTTTACTCATTGTTGTTTTACACAAAAGTGCAAATGCTTGAAACATATAAAAGATATAATTTCCAATTCCCAAAGATGATTATATCTGACTATAACTGAAGATTTTATAATATATATACTGTACATGACTCAAAAATAAATAAAAAAATGCAAGGAATAATTCATGTTTCAAAAGAGAATTTCTAATATTCTAAATCACTGCATTCTTCTTCACTATCCTCTTGTTCTTCAGGGTCAGTATCTGGGTCATCAGGTTCAACTTCCATGTCTCCATCAGTTTCAATCTCAAGTTGTATATTATAATCTAAAACAATTTAAATATACAAATGTTTTTTTCTATAATTTAATAATCAATTTCAAACAACCCCATATTGATAATCAAAGTGATCAAATCACTGATGAAAAGATTGGATGAAGTGTGTACATAATTATAAATCATATTTTAATATTTTAGTAATGCACAGACTTTACACATTTCAAAGGATGCAATTCAGTTTACAGAACCTACTATCAAAGTATGAAGTAATCATGTTCACACAAAGACATAAAAAAACAGGATAAAAAGATGTCTGGCTGGCTCACATTTTTTTTTTGAAACCCTGTTTTACACTACTGGGCAATATGGCACAATGTCCAAGGGAGATAATATTACTAAGAATTTTACTCAATATTTAGATAATGTAGAGTCCTATAAGATAATTACAGGGAAAACTAAGTCAGTATAGTAACTTGAAACATACATTATTTAAAATTTGGCCTTACTTTTCCTTTGTATTTTAGGATAATCCTTTAAAGCTTTGGCAGCATTTCCTTGTCCATGTAAACTCCAGTGTACAATGTTCACAGGATTATCTGTTGATGTTATAAATGTTTCATTGTCTCCACAAAAATTAAGCTTCCCAAGCTGAAAAGAAACAGTTGACAACGAAATGAATTATTAACTCCTATTAACAAACATTTAATTTAGATTTTTTTTTCAATTTTAAAACAACACAAAGAAGTGTGAGTTAGTGACATTTTGATATAAAGCTTTTCCTGAATACAATTATAATAGAAGCCAATAATCAAATGTAGTGGTGGATTTTAATTTTTGTACAGAATTTTTGATATACAACCATAAAAAATTCAAACTTTTGACTAATAATTAGCATTAAGCAACATTTGTTATAATTTCTTATATAAATAAAGTAAAATGTGCAAAATTTGAGTGAAACAGTAACATGTATACAGTGATTATCTTGATGTAAAGATTACACTTCAAAGAATGTTTAATGTCTGTATTATAAATAAGACAAGTAGTTGAATACAACTATCTGCATACAATATAAGTTCAAGTTTTTCAGATGACTTTTTAAGCAATTACAATAATCCAAAAAGCACAATTGGTATAATTGAACCATGATCAAGTGCCCTTTTTATTTAAGTGTGCAAGTAATTGGAAATATTTGAAATGTACTCTTCTGACAACTACTGTAAGTTCAGAAATTATTGCGTTCATTTTATTATTGTGATTTTTGAAGAATAGACAAAATTGCGAGATTAATTATTGCAATTTCAGGAAAATTTATACAAATATATGCATCAGGTATCAGAATGTGACTGCTTATTAATGCAATAATCATCAAGTTGCATTATTCGCATTAATAAAATCCTCAATAATTTCAGAATTAACAGTAATCATAAGCTATATCTTGTTTGAGTGCATTATTAAACATCAGAATTTAATATATATACCTATAGGACTAGATAAGTTTCATAAGAAAAAAATTATAATAAACTTTCTAACTTACAGTTGTGTCAAATTTAAATGATGAAAGGCACTTAAAGTTATTCCTGTCCCAGAGTTTGATGACTTCTTCATCCATAAATCCATAAGACAAGAAGTAAGGTCCATCATATGGTACTGTTAACATGGCCTGTCTACTGTGCCCTGTTAATCTATTCACCAATTTTCCTGAAGAAACATAAACATTTGTCCTTAATGTAAACTGAAAATATCTTTTAAGTTCAAAGGCCTACTTGGGAAATAGCTATTTTATGACACAATATGGCACTAAATTAGGTATGCAGTTGTATAATGGGTAAGTTGTGTTTGAGAGATAAATATATTTCACAAATATCAAATGCACTAAGGACAGCGGTTTTAATTGCATCTGAAATAACAACTAACATCTGATAAGTATCAGATACTTATGATATTCTCCAGAAACCTTATTACACATTTAATCTAAATTTCTCGCCCTTATCACATATAATGCAGCTTTAAATATTGACCTATCCAGCGGCTAACTTCTACCACTAAGTACTTAGTAATAACAAAAAAACGGGAGCCAACACAAAAAATGTAAAACCCATGGCCATTATTGTTGATTTGTAATCTGAAAATTAACCTTATTTAACATTTATAATCACTGTAAACTTAAGTAAAGTCTTACCACTTTCAATATCCCATATTCTAATGATATAATCATCATGGGCAGACACAACTTTCTCATCGTCCAGGAACTGCACCTCATCTAATGCTACCGATAAAGGACTTTCTATCCTTTTATATTTCATATGGTAAACTGAATCCACCAACTGAAGTGACTTCTCTTATAAAAAGAAAACAAATATTTAATGATTTTTAGGTCTGTATTTACATCTTTCTTTATCAAAAGCTTCTTTTACAAAGAAAAAGGTAGATATGGGTTCAAATTGTCCCCAGAATCAAATAGAATGCAAAACTACTCCAAATTGACAGATAAAATTTTGAATATATGTACTTCAATATAACAAACCCTTTAAAATATAAAACATTTCTTGTTAAGATTTTTTTTTTAATTAGACTACAGTATGTAGGGTGTCAGACTACAGTATGTAGGGCGTCCTATAGTTGTTTACATCCACATCTATTGGAGTCTGGTGGATAGTTGTCTCAAAGGTAATAAATAATACACAATCTCGATCCTTATTTTTATACTAACAGTCATCCATAAATGCCAATACATGTATGTACAGTCAAAATAGAAAATAAATTGAAATGCAAGGTACTGCTCACTAATAATACCCATTCTTTAAGTTTTCAGTAAACAGGGAGTTGATGAGTAGTGAATGTGAAGAAGCATCAAACAGTATAGCATGCTAGTTCACAATAAGATAGATTCCAAATTACAGAAAGCCTTGATTTGTTGTTTTCTGAGAAAAATGTGACAAAAATTTAGTACCGGGGAATATGTTCATTTTGTGCAAGAATAAATAAGTATTTGGTAGACAGGAAGTTGACGAGTGACAAATTTAAAATGCCTAATACAGTATAGCAATTACTCACATGAAGCATGAAATATCATGAGTATTGAGAGTTCTAACAATGTTGGACTAATGGACATTAGCATTTCCAAATCTTAATTTGCATTAGAACCATAATATTTTCAATTTATTTTTTAATATGTTGTCCTAAGTTTGCATCTACACTTTATTCTTCAGTTTCCTTATTTCTAAGTTCTTCTACTTTCAATTTGTACTTTTAAGTGTCCACAACAAACTAACTACCTGTTTGAACGTTCCAGAGAAAGCCAATAGGTTCACTTTCCCATTCCTCGGTTGAAACAATCTTGCATGCAGAGAGAACAACATGATTGCCATTAGGACATACTGCAGCTACATATGATAGTACTTCCATTTTCAGATCTTTTGGTGTGACAGTAGAAGTTCTACCATTTACTGTATCAAATATAATAAAACTTTCATCTGCTTTGGCCACAATAGTACTTCCACTTTTATTGGTCTGAAAGAGAAGTAAAAGCATATCAATATTACATGTTAAAATAAAAGAAGAATGTGTCCATGGAACACAGATGCCCCTGCTTGTAAATATGCAAGAGTCAATGTTCTAATTCATAATATTGACGTTTTGTTTTCTTTAAAACTTAATGACATTTGTTTCTGTATGTAGAGATTGCTTGGGTGTTTAGTCATTAGAGATTGCTTGGGTGTTTAGTCATTAGAGATTGCTTGGGTGTTTGAGTGCGCTCATTACAAACAGTAATGGGTTAACTCAAGAACAGTGTAAGTATGCCACCCAAATTTGAACTTAATCTGTGGGGTAGTAAGCATTGTGAATTACTTTCATAACATTTGGTTGAGTCAAAGTAAAGTTAGAGTGAGGAAACGATAAATTTGCCAATTTTTCCATTTATAAAGGGACATAACTCAAGAACAATGAAAGTGACGGCACCCAAATTCCATTATGCACAAGTTTCATAATATTTAGTTGAGGCAAACTAAAGTTAGAAAACTGAAACTATTTTCGGGATATACAGACAGACAAGGGTACACCTTAATGCCCACCCTACTCAGGATAATGATTTTTTCTCTGAAAATGTCCTTATTCCTAAAGCTGGAGTTATGAAGGTGGCAATATCACATACTACCAAAGAGGTCATAAATCCTTAATTCTTTGTCAGTTGTAGATTAATGTGCTCTTGGTTTTAATCGCTTTTCTAATGTCTGATACTGAAAGCCAACTTATTTTCATGGATGTTTTTTTTGTGTTTTAAGCCCTTTCTAGCCCAATTTACGATGATTTATTTTTCATAATTTTCTAAAAAATTTTATGCTTTAATATAAGAAAAGAGCCTAGTCTGACACATTTGAGAAGATCTACATGTGAGTTATTTTTTTTCCTCCTTATTCCCAAAAAATAAATCGCTTGTGAAAATTTGTTGGGTTACAATAATACTTACAAAGAAGTTATCGATTCTGTGGTCTTTGTCAGCTGGTGATTTATGTATTTTAATCACTTTGCCAGTTGTGGTACTATACACCTTGATATTCCTTCTTCCTCTTGATACACATATAAACTCTGAAACAATATTTTTATACAATTAATTTGTGGCAACTATTTTGATTTGACAATGTCATTTACTTTGAGGGACTTAAATCCACCTTATTTTCTACCATAATGCTCTTCACAATCACACATGATGTTGTCTTACCCCTGTTAATCTAAAATTTAATTTTCACACAATTTCACAACTGCTTTAAAATAAGAATATGAGACATGATAATCTTGACTTAATTTAATTCTGGCTTACACCAATTATTGATTTTACAGTTGCAACTATCTGTTATAACTGAACTCTAAATGAAATTTATCTGCTCAGATATTGCAGTGCACTTTAATACCTGTGCATCTTATTGCAACCATATCACAAAAGCATTAAGTATTGTACTCTAACCTTTTCCATCATTTGTCATTTTATATAGTTTACATCTGTCACAGACTCTGCCTTGGAATACAGTTTTAATTGTCATTGTTTGTAAATCAATGGTCTTTGGCTTCAGACTCATTGGTAGTACAAGTACAGTGTTGTCATCTATAACTTCAAGTAGATGTGAACCTTCATCCTGTTCATAAAAAAAAACAAATGTCAAATCATCAACAATGAACAAAAATATTAGTTTCTTTTCTTCTTTTGTTTTCAAATTCATATATAATGCATTGTACAGACAGTTTAAACAATTCAACATATTTAGTTGTGTCTGTTACAAAAATGACTGAGTTATACATATGCCAATTCTACTATTTTAACTGATACATGTGTCAATTCTACTATTTTAACTGATAGATATGCCAATTCTACTATTTTAACTGATACATATGCCAATTGTACTATTTTAACTGATACCTGTGCTAATTCTACTATTTTAATTGAAACATGTGTCAATTGTACTATTTTAACTGATACAGGTGTCAATACTACTATTTTAACTGATACATGTGTCAATTCTACAAGTTTAATTGATACATGTGTCAATTCTACTATTTTAACTGATAGTATACATGTGCCAATTGTACTATTTTAACTTATAACAACAACAATACTTTAAGAGGGTTACACAGTTAGCTATATAACTAATCTTCCCTGATGCCCTCATCATAGAAAAGCATAAACAAAAATGCAAACATATACATGGCATACATTAGTATAAAAGTCAAGTATGATGATAATGTTCAATACAACTTGATTAAAATGTTATGAAAAAATAAACATGATGAAATAATCAGTATTCAATATTTTTTTCAACAGGTTGATTTCAGTAAATGATCTGTTATTTTGTATTTGAAAGAATTAACATTTGTAATATTTCTTAACGCTACCTGTATTGGCAAATTATTCCACAAGAATGGTCCAGAATACATAAAAGATTTTCTTGAACAATTCTATTTTTGGTTTAGGGAGTATGAGGTTCCCTTGAACAGCATTTCTCAATGGGTATGGATGATACCTGTGCCAATTCTACTATTTTAACTAATACATGTGTCAATTCTACTATTTTAACTTAAACATAATTATGTCAATTGTACTATTTTAACTGATACATGTGTCAATTCTACCATTTTAACTGATACACATGTCAATTCTACTATTTTAACTGATACCTGTGCCGATTTTACTATTCTAACTGATAAATTTTCACAAAAAATAGACGTAAAAGTTCTTGTACAAGACTTTTTGTTTCATCTCTTTTAGTGTACTTTTACAAATTTGAAGGGTATACACAGGGTAAAATACTCTAAATGCATGGGAAGAATACTGTCATATCTTAAGTTTGAAGTACCGGTGCCTTATTTTCAGTCTAAACATTGGACAACACAAGTGTCATATTACCTGAAATGAATAACTCTATATATCATTTAAATTCTAAAACATCCCCATATTTTCAAAACTATATTGATCTGTTTTGAAAAGTAATTTCTGAGAGATCTAATGCAATGAAATTACATGCACTGAAAGATCAAAGTTGATTACATTTGTATGTTGTTAACAATTTAGTTCCAAATTATTCTATGACTCAAATTCTATCCGTTAAGTATTTATAGGACTGTCAGGAGACAGAAAAACCAACTGGATTTTTTCTCATTTTTTCACATTAAAATAGAATAATTTTATGTTCGTCCTGGTGCATATTTTAAAATTCCATTATTTTTAGAAACAAATCCTTGTCCAAAAAAATTGGTCTGAGGTCTACTAGAAATAAGAGTTTACTGAAAAATAAAGTGATCTTACCAGTTCTGTTGACTGCACAATAGATTTTTCTACAAGGTCATACACATACATGTAGTAATCCTCAGTCTGTGTAGAATCTGGGTTTCCAATCACAACTACATGTCTTAAGTTTGGTAGGGGTTTAAATTGCCTGAAATTACAAATATATTTATCCATAACAGACCAGGTTTCGAACCCTAACAACTACTACACATAATAATATATCATTAGTAGTTAGAAGTGTATTATGATAAAACAACAATTGGAAGAATTTTTGGGCCTTAATATCCATGGTGTAGGATGTTCTGGCACAGGCATAACCAAAATAACACTATATAAAGGTTGTGTGTCAGAAGAGAGCTATTCTGGATTAACCTTCATCAGGAATGCTCAAACCAACTATGTATGTAAGAAGCTATCTAATTAAAAGGGACCATAAAATTTGATTTGATTTTGATTTTTGGTGTTTTAACGCCACTATTAAGAACCGATTTGGGGCTATTTCATGGCGGCCAGTTTTTATTGGTGGAGGAAGCCGGAGAAAACCACAGACCTTCGATAGGAAAACTGACAATCCTAGTCAATTAAGATTGGAGTCGAGTGCACCCGCATGAGCGGGGTTCGAACTCAAAACCTCAGTGTTGACTGGCTAGTGATTACAGTAGTAACTACCACTCGGCCACCGAGGCCCCTTGTGTGTCAGAAGAGAGCTATTCTAGGTTAACCTTCAACAGGAATGCTCAAACCAAAGTTAGAAAGCCAACTATATATGTGAGAAGCTATATAATTAAAAGGGACCATAAAAGGATAGCCAAATCCATCCAAGGTCAGCTTTGCCTGAAGGAGTTATAACCTAAGTTTTCTAAAATTCTACATCTATCAACAGAGAATTTAAGACAGGTATGTTATAAATTTTCCTTGTCCTGCTTTTATGCAGTATTTCCAGAAATCATAGTTATTCATTTCACATGTTATCTGCTGATCATCAATCACATTAATAAATCTATTCAATAAGATGATGAGAATCTACAGTATTTGTCTGATGCTCTCTCCCTTAATTCTATGGCCTTTCTTTTTTAATTGTCCTTAAAAGCATACTGCATCTTTGTTCTTACTTTTCTAGGATATAAAAACAGAGGCAAAAGATACCAAAGGGACATTCAAAACGTCATGGCAAAAAAAATACTAAAAAGAAGAAGAGACAAACAATTCCACAAAACAATAAATAGAAAACTAAAGACTGAGCAACACAAAACCAAACAAATACTGGAGGCAATCTCAGGTGCTCCAAATGGGTAAGCAGATCCTTCAACACATGTGACAACTGTCCTGTTACACCTATCAAATATGTTGATTAGTAAAATCAAGTGATTGACAGATTGGTAATAGACTCTAGTTCTCACACTAAGATCAAATTCATAAACCAATGGTTTTAACTTACACAATACGATGGTTCTGTAAAGGTTTATCTTTATCACTGGCTTTGTTAGTTTCGGACATATCCCACAATCTCACTATAGGATCCTGGGTAATTGTTACTGCTCTGTCATCAGAGTAAATATATACGTCAGTGATCGAATCAGGATGGCTCCGGAATTTCCTTGTTTCCGTCTCTTCTTTCAGATTAATCATTATGACCTCTCTGTAGCAAGGGAAATACAAATATTTGCCATCTCTTGTCACATGGAAATTACTTATCTCTTCATATGGCTCATCTGTTTATTGAAAAAATTAGGAAATATTTAACTATAAAACTAGGTCAGGCATAAGAATAAAAGGAGTATGGCAAGGGCCCTATTTCAAAATGTAAAGTTTCCAAGCTAATGCATAAACATGTGAGAAATTGAATTAGAAAGATTTTTTGGAACTTTTCTTTTTAAGTGTTGACACTACAGTCTAAATCGGCCAAAAATGAAAGATTAAGGCGAAAGTGGACAAATCTTCTGAATTTCAACAACATTTTGGTCTAGGAAATGATAAAACATTATATTTAGTATCTTCTAAACAGCAACTTCAGTTCAAACCATGAAATATGTGACTGTTTAAAGTAAATGGTATTTTATAGTAGCAGTAATAAGATAACCCAATCAGAGATCTTCTTTCATAAAATATCTTGTGACTCATGCTGATCATTATGATACTGTTTTTGTCTCCAAACCGTTGTACAAGAATGCAATGCTTGCAAGTATTCAATATGATGCCATTCATGTTTAATTTGTAAATTCATTGAGTATTAAAACCTGTGTTGTAAAAAAGTTATTTCAAAATAGTATTTTTGATTACATGTACTGCAAAATAGTAGTTTTGATTACATGTACTGCAATCAAGTAAATATGCTTAAATTTATCGCGATTGTATTTTTCCTTTGATCTTTTTTTAGTGATAATTTTTCATATCATGATTCTCGCTTGAGATAGAAAAATCTTGTCAGAAACTAAGGGCGCATGTGATATTGTCAATGTAATCATCAAGGACATCACAGGCAAAATAGCGATAAACAGATTAACAATGGCCTTTCAAACTCGAGGATGTTTCTTGGCCACATCTCATCTCAGGGCTGTCGCCCTTCGATGAGGTTGTAGCTGAGAAACACCCTCTCGTTTGAAAAACCATCAATAATCTATAAATAACAAAAGACAAAATTTGTAAAGTCACATACATAAATATCTTAATTATTCATCTTTAACTTAATGGGAAATGAATACAATCTCTCTAGAAATCAATGACAAATCATACCTCTAGTTTTAATCTGCTTTAAGATTTTCAGTGTTTTTATGTCATGTAGTCTAATAGTTGATTCCAGGAACGAGGCACAGATGACTGTTTTTTGGCTTGGTGTGATGACTATGGCATCAACCGTGTACGATTCTGTGGTCTCACGTTTACTGGAAGACAATTCTTTGGTAGTGATATTGATTACATAGAATTCATCCTCTGTGGCATTAGTTAATGCTACATAATTTGATGTGGCTGAAATACAAAAAAGAAGTTGCACACATAGTCGTGCTAAGCATACCCCAACTTATAAAAGTATCAGCAAAGTTGGTATCTGACACATCAAAAAAGGGCATATTGCAAGTACATTACAACTCATAAATGTCACGCTGCAGACCAAATTTGAAGTCTTTCTGTTCAGTAGTTCCTGATTAAAGTGTGACAAATATATTTTTTTCAAAAGACTAGAGTTGTTAATACCTCATTATCCCTGTTTGAAGAATAAACCATGATGTTCAGATTTTATTCAATTTTAATTTGTTTTAGTTTTCCATACTTCATTAACTATTTCATCTTCATCTTCAAAATATATTTACTTTTTTTCAATGTACACAATTACACAGAATAAAATATTCCTACAAACATACCTGAAGTACAAGACCTTATGTCAAACAAATTTTCTTCTGTTTTATCAAATGAAACTTTCTCCCTCAGCTTCCCATCAGCAGTGTTATAGAAAGTGCAATCCCTGAATATGAATGTTCCAAATATTGACTTGTCTGGTCCAAAAACACAAAGCTGACACATGTTTGGAATTTGCACTTTTTCCCGTGTGTTATTAGCAATATTGATGATTACTACTTGACCACGGTAATGAATGAGTACTTTTTTATACTTGTCAGCGAAATAAGCTTTCTCCGGATCTGTAGGTAAGTTGTCATACTCTTTCTGAAGTTTGCCCTCCTTTAAAGACCATGTTCTGATAACATCATCTCCAAACTGTCCACCTGTAACAAACATTCATTCAGCATGAAGACTGGTTATCAGGTGAAACAAAATCCAATTTCATCTACATCTATTTATTGCTAACTAAGAAAACAGAAAGCTATACTTGATCAATGAAAATATTGTTGAATTTTTTTTTTTAATTTTTTTTTTATTACCTTAGATAGGTCGATTCGCCACATAAGACGAGGCCAAGAATTTTCTGAAAAAAAATATTGTCTTATCCACCGAAAATTACAGTACATATAAGTTATGATGTACTGTGGATTCATTGTTATTTGTTGGATACAAAATTTTGTGGTTTTTGTGGGTACAGGTGAACCACCAATTAAAATGTTCAACGAATTACAAATTTTCTATCAGGTTGTATGCAGATTTTGGCAAAACAACAACATCACACATCCACGAAAAGGCACAAAAATAAATATTCAATTTAGTTTGGGACTGAACTTACATGTGACTGCCGTACTACCATTAGCAGTTACATCCAGACTTTTAACTACAGATGTATGTCCTGTCATAGTATGGATCAATTCTCCACCAGGCTTTAAAAGGACTTCATCACTACTGGCCAAATAAGGGATATCACTCTGTCTGCACTGCTCAATGAAACCACTGACAATCTACAAAATGTAAACAGATAATTAATTCATATCCATTTGTATACACTGATCAAAGAAACTTCTGAAAAAAAAAATATAACTAGTCCAAAGACTATTAATTTATACATAAATCTTATAAAATAAAGAGACTTAAGATATTGTTTTGTCTAAATGGAAATCAAGAGGCTTGCATATCTTATTCAAATGTTGGTATTCACTTTATATAATGTATAAACAAAGGGAGATGTAAGGTACATGTCAATTAAGCAGTCACCCAACAACATAATAAAAGAAAAACAATATTTTAAGATATTATCATTTCAGTTTCGATTTATATTTTGAAAATATTTGGTAAAACCTTTTCATAAAGAAAGGTATTCTAGCATCAAGATTAAGTCAGGTGTGTGGTTTTAATAATGTAAATAAACCAAAAATGTACATTCTGGAAAAACACTTAGGAAAGGTTATGGTTTATGCAGGATCCAGCATTAAGAAATCACTTATCTTAATTGTCATGTATACGAAGCATCTGAGTAATAATCATGTGCAAACTTACTTTTTCTTTTGACAATCTGTCAATCATGTGTGGAGCCAGTTGATAAGGATCATATGAAAGGGCATATTCAGACAATTTAAAGGCATCTGTAATCCAAGATATCTCCTTGTCATTTTCAAAAGTATTCCTGGCAAGATTCAGATCTCTGAACACATTCCTGAAATATTTTGTATGCTAACTGACTATGAATTCAACTAATGCTTTTAATATCATAGTATTTACACATCTCTTTCATAGAGGAACTTTTTTCCTGGATGATAACCTATGAAGGGAATCAGTATAAATAATCTTTATTCAATGTTAAAATATCAATTAATTCATGGTTATATATTACCCAGTATATCATAAAATTATTGTCTCATGTGCATCCATCACAAATTCTTTTTTCAGAATAAATAATTTTGTGACACTTGTCCTTGTATGCAATATCTAATTTTATTTCATACTTGGGATATGTTAATATAAATAAGAAGATATGGTATGATTGATAATGAGACAAAGACATGAACAATTACAGGTCACCGTAAGACCTTCAACAATGATCAAAACCCAAACAGTATAGTAAACTATAAATGGCCCTGTGATGATAAAAGGACAAAATGACAGTTTAAATCTTAAACAAATTCACGAAACGGCAGATGAAGCATAATTTAAATGTATTATACATTTTCCATTCAGCTTTCTGCTTGTCAAATACCTATTCAATCTAGTTGTATGATAAATGTTCAAAGAAGATATATTTTGAGTAAAAAAAAGACAAATAGAGAAAATAGTAACGATCCCAAGTTTTACATTAATTAATTGAAAGGAAGAATACAAGAAGATAATTGCCTGTTTATTCATTGCAAAGGAAATAAAACCGTTCCCCGGAATCAGTACCTGTTCATTTGGGTATTTCTAGTTTTGCAAAATCAATTGTCCCCACTTTAAATTTAAAGTCCTCATTAAATGAACTACAGGGAACAATAGCTATTATATTTATTCAATGGGACAGTTCATGTTGCAAAAGTTTAAATACCCAAATGAACAGCTACTATATGGGGAAAGGTTTCATTTTCTTCGCAATAGTACTTACCTGTATGTCATTGCTATAAGCTTGGTCTGTAAAAATTTAAAGTTACACAGACATTCAGATTTCGCTTTTTCCAGTTGTCCTGCTTTTATCCTATGGTAAGGTAAGTGCCCTAGTTTCCTATAGTTGTAGGAATCTTTAAATTTATAAGGCTGAGCTGTAACAAGTCTATCCTCTATACCTTTTGTTTTATTTTTTGTATTTTCAAATGGCTTCTTGTTCCCTGAAATGAAATATAACATAGTCATCAGGAAATTCATGCCTTAATTCTGTAAAGTAATATGACAATTCATATACAAACAAAATCATATACATTTTGTAATTCATTAGTGCAAAATAATTGCATTCACCATCATCAATGATAATTTTGGGGCACTTCAAACATATGAATATGTGCAACTTGTGAATACACAAACAATATAATTTATTTCATCCACAACTAAGATTCACGATTTAATAAGTTGCTCTTTAATTGAATTTCAAAGATATTTTATTCATTCTTCAGGATATTTTAACTTATTCTTTTTTATTTCAATTGCAAAAAATGAATTAAAGTTTCACTAAAAAGTAGAAAAACTTTATTTATAAATCCTCAAAAAATTATTTAACTGAAAAGGAACCTATTACTGAGAAAGGATAACCCCCTGCCTGTAATATCATTAGAATATTGAAGTAAGTATTTGATTATCTCCCTTTAACATGTTTCACCAAGATTTTAATTCTTAATGCACATCCTTATTTGGTGTTCTTCAACTGTTTCTAGTTGCATAAATATCCATCTAGCCTTCTAGGAGGAGTAGTTCTGACAAGACACATGGATAGAACGAACTACTAACATATGGACAGGGTGATTCCCTTAAACCCCTAAAAACTTTATTTTCAGGGTATAATAAGAAATATTGAGATTAAATTTCATTTAAGATATTTAAAATATTGCTATTGAACTTTACCATTGGACCATGTTCCTGCAAAAAAATCAGCTAGAGCAGAATGTAATAATGACTGTTTCCCTTTAGTACAATATCTATCCTGGGCAGCCTCAATAAACTGTCGATGATACCAGTATATCACTCTTACACCATCTGCACCTCTGTCCACTGAAATATAGGATAACTTGTATAATCATTTTTTGAAAGCTCACTATGGAAATAGATTTTTAACATAATCACATATCACCAAAAAATACTGTGGATTCACTTATTTTCGTGGATACCAATTTTCGTGGATTGATGAATACTTGTATTTTCTTGGACATTTAATTTCGTGGTTTTGCCCAAGTATGCATACAACCTTATGGAAAATTTGTAATTTGTTGAACATTTAAATTCGTGGTTCACCTGTACCCACGAAAATTGGTATCCAACGAATAATAACGAATCCACAGTAGTGAGTAATTATTGTAAACCAATTCTTTGATAAAAATCTTTTTTTCATTTATTGTCCTTTCTAGTGATTTCCCAGAAAATTATTTTAGTGATATTTTTTCTTTGCACTAAGTTTTATGTAATAGAAGAATAAGATTGACATATTCCCATAATTTTTTGGATTACAAAAATCGCACAAATAAATCATTCTGCAAAAATTATTTGGGTTTACCAGATGTCAGATAGACATCAACCCAATGACACCAAAAATCAAAACATATGTTTGTAATCAGAACTATTATGGCATCAATGGTATTGTCATGGAAGCCTATAATTTCTAGGATTTTGTACTTCAATGAATAACAAAGAATTACTTGAATAGTTGAACCATTTCACAAGACTGTGTTGATACAAATGAGATTGACAAGGTTCAATGAAATAATACACTTAATATAGTTAGGTAATAAATTATTAAAAAAGAATGAGGCATCTGAAATGACATTCATCTATACCTGAAGTGTTTTTTAAGCAACACCAAAAGGTAGGGTATATTTCCATCTTTAGTATCATAACATATGATATGAAAAAATAAACCATACCTAAATATTGCTGTAAATCTGTTTTTAATCTAACAAGGAGAAGAGGTGGAAGACGTCTGATTGGTGGAGTCCAATACTGGTAAAGATCATTAAGGACATCATCATCACATGACAATATATCCTCCAATTCTGTTTCAGACAAACCATTCAAGGCTGTATAAAAAAATTGTCTAAGCTTTAAAATATATTATTAAAAATACATGATTAACAAATAAAGATAGCTAGCAAATTGACTTGATTACTTTAAATTTAACAAATTGGGTGAACTGTTTATATTCAACACTCCCTGTTTTCTTACAACATGGTTCATTTTGTCCAAAAGGACTGCTGTAAACAGGCAAGAGAATGAGGGTCCTTACCTATAGTTACATAACCCAGAGTCCTGCTGACAAATAAATCTCCATATCTGACTTCTAGCCGATGAAACAAACTATTTATACTGTCTCTAACGGTTTTCTGTAATACATTCTGATTAGGTGGTGTGAAAGAACTCCATTGACAGGCTTCATCTAAACTGAGCTTTAGAAACAATGCTAGTGAACACTTATTGAAAGCTTTAACAACAATATCATTCTGTGTTGATGTTAGAATACGATGCTGGGACTGTAACCAGCTCTGTATAATGGATTTGGCATCTTGGACAGAAAGATCTGGAATGTGGACAAAATTCTCATCTGGAAGCATGGTCTGCAAAAGCGAAAAGTTAAAATTCCTAAGTGCTTATGTTACTTACTGAGATAAATTAGAAGTAATTGACTCAGTTCAAAACTATTCTATATTCAAAACTGTAAAATAAAATAAAAAAGCTTTATTGATTATTTAGCTGTTCATGCTGTTGTTTTGAATATCTGATTTAAGGATACATTGTGGCATGCCCAAATATCACATACCCTTTATGGAAAAACCCTTTATCGCAACCCTGTTTGGTATAACTTTAGAGCTAGTGCTGGTTGACTTTTAGTCCCCAAGGTTATCATCAGCTCAGTAGTCAGTGCTACAGTACTTACATGATTTATTACATATTTTTCTAAAATTCCTCATTGATGAATTAAGAAGTTAAAACAAGGAAAGTAAGGATCTAACTCCCTCAGAAAAGTGGAGCTAAAATGAATTTGGCTATTCTCTTTATGTCCCTCTTAGTCACATAGCTCCTAACGTTTCAAAATATCTATATATCCCTGGCCTTTCAAATGTTCGGGTTTGAGCATTCTTGATGAAGGAAAAACCAGAAAAGTGCTTCTGATGCACTAAAGGAGTAAGCCCAGTAAGACCCCTTTTTGGCCCCAAAATAAAGCAGTTTTACAAAATTGTTATAATGTTAATTTTTAGCTATTTATTGGAAAGAAGAATACTTCTGTTACATAAATATGGGCTGTTTTTGACAATGCAATGCACATGTATCGGGTACTAGCATCATTAAGTCATGCTAAATTACTGAAATCTTCGAAATTTTAGCATTTCGGTTAATTTTTAGACGGTTTCCGTCTGAAATGGAAGTGGCCGCATTTGTGTTCATTCTTAATATTTAAATGTAAGTTGTATTTGATGATAATACATAACATATATAAAGGATGAGAATGAACACGAATGCGTCCACTTTCATTTTTGACTAAAACCATCTGAAAACTGACATATTATGGCATATTTGATAGATTTTTCATATTTAAGCTGGAATTTGAGCGTCGTTATTGACTAAATCAGTTCAAATCTTTCACATAAACTAATTGAATCGACTGAAGTAGACATTTAAGTGTTTAAAAAGTGTCCAAAATCTTTCATCAGATGAACCTGATTTTTGAGGCCAAAATCGGCCCTTACCGGACCTACTCCTTTATAGTCTTTACTTTCATTTATGGAAATGAACTACATTATTTATAATGCCTTCCATTATAAAAACAAAATTTTATCATACATCTTGAATCATACTTTAAGTTTAGGAAATGCTTCATATTGCCTGTCCTCTAATGTGGACACTACAATCTTAACACTGGCAGAAAACTCTTCTGGTAGCCATGATAAACTCCTGCCACCATTGGCAGTATCTAACTGGTCCAGAGAATCGAGGTAGATAACTAGAGGTACATCTGTTAGAGGTAATCCTAAGGATGTTATCAAGTCCTCCTTAAGTTCCTCAATGCTCTGAAAGATGGAAATAAATATTTATTAAAGGTAATACATATTGCAAAATTTGTGTCCAGGGTTACAAAATCAAAGCCTATATAATTTGTACAACCTACACATACACAATTTGTTTGGACAAAAAGGAACTCAGCTGAAGGTGGGAAAAAATCACATTGGCACCTTGTTTATAAAGCTGAAGTGAACATTTTGTTGTTAACAGTTAAAAGAGAGGCGAAAGAAATACATGAATGAAATGTTTTGACATTGATCAGTTTTATAAAAAAAACATATTAAGTAAGTTTCCTTCCATTTATAAAAGGCATCATGTATTAGAATTTACTTCTGATTAGGCTAATTTGGATGAAATATTCTCAATTCTTAATTCTTAGACTTTCAAATCTACATGATCATAAATACTCAAAGCTGTCTCCTGTGCATTCAAGTAATCAAGGATGGCAAGAAGATTGGGAAAATCAAGGCCAAAAGACCAGGTTCACTTTAGGCCAAATATGGCCTTAAATTTCAAATTCATCATAAAATATCAAAATGGCCATAATTTGGTTCTTCAATGCATCTATTTAAAAAGTCTTACTGTTAAGTTAAATAAATCTGTTCATAAGAGTACATTCTATGCTTCAAAGTCAGCACATTTTGGATATACTGTCAAAAAACGATGTTTTTGTGCATTTTCAGACCTAAAAGTTTAAGGAAACCTTTAGTGGCAATCTTAGGATCCAAAATAATCTGTAGCCAAAAGTTGTCAATGATGATATTGAATCCCTAGGCACAAAAACTTTCTGGATCAGGGGTGGCGACCAAAGTAAATTATGTTAAAAACTGTTAAGAATCATTGAAAATTTGACCAAAACTGACATTACAACACAAATAATGCATACTTGAGGGATCATTTCTTCATCATTTTTAATGTGATGTGCCAAAAAGAAGTTATTTTGTATCAACAGTTATATAACAGCAATTTTTATGTGAAATTTGTAGTATTTTGGCCTGATTAAAAAAACATAAAATTCTTATGGCCAATTTTAACCCTTCGTGAACTTACTACTTTGTCAAAACATAACTCAATCTATACTTGGCAGTCTATGACTTTCTTAACATGTTAGTTACATGGAAAAATGCAAACAAGCTAAAGTGAAATAGAGATTTTACATCTATATTGTATCTGAAATATTTATAAAACTTTTCAATTACAAAATGAATTTTATGTGTTTTATCGTAACTACCCTGCATACCCGAGGTATCCACTTCAGGGACTCTAACTTACTACAGATTCACCAGGCGTTGGTTCACTCTTGTGTTTAAATACACAAGAGTGCACACGCTGAAATGTCTCGCCTTCTTTACTAATCATTGATATTATGTTGATAGTCCTAAATATAAAGCTTTATTACAACTGTCACATAAACTTAACATTAACCAAGAAAACTAAACATTGACCAATGAACCATGAAAATGAGGTCAAGGTCAGATGAACCATGCCAGGCAGACATGTACAGTTTAATAATTCTTCCATATAACAAATATAGTTGACCTATTACTTATAGTTTAAGAAAAACAGACCAAAACACAAAAACTTAACACTGAGCAATGAACTGTGAAAATGAGGTCAAGGTCATATAAAACCTGCGCGACTGACATATAGATCATAAAATATTTCCATACACCAAATATAGTTGACCTATTGCATATAGTATTAGAAAAAAAGGCCAAAACTCAAAAACTTAACTTTGACCACTGAACCATGAAAACGAGGTCAAGGTCCGATGACATCTGCCAGCTAGACATGTACACCTTACAATCATTCCATACACCAAATATAGTAGACCTATTGCATACAGTATAAGAAAAACAGACCAAAACACAAAAACTTAACTATAACCACTGAACCATGAAAATGAGGTCAAGGTCAAATGACACCTGCCAGTTGGACATGTACACCTTACAGTCCTTCCATACACCGAATATACTAGACCTATTGCTTATAGTATCTGAGATATGGACTTGACCACCAAAACTTAACCTTGTTCACTGATCCATGAAATGAGGTCGAGGTCAAGTGAAAACTGTTTGACGGGCATGAGGACCTTGCAAGGTACGCACATACCAAATATAGTTATCCTACTACTTATAATAAGAGAGAATTTAACATTACAAAAAATGTTAACTTTTTTTTCAAGTAGTCACTGAACCATGAAAATGAGGTCAAGGACATTGGACATGTGACTGACGGAAACTTCGTAACATGAGGCATCCATATACAAAGTATGAAGCATCCAGGTCTTCCACCTTCTAAAATATAAAGCTTTTAAGAAGTTAGCTAACGCCGCTGCCGCCGCTGGATCACTATCCCTATGTCGAGCTTTCTGCGACAAAAGTCGCAGGCTCGACAAAAATGAATGTTTTCTTGATTTCTAACATGGTGTCAAACTGTGATATTAGTACAATCTATCAATACCAAGAAGGAGGATCGTTATTATTAAGGACCTTGTTTAAAAAGAAAAAGCATAATGTCAAATGCACATGCAAGTCTGTAACACTTCATCATTAGTATTTGCATAGAGGCTCAGGAAATCTTATTTAATAATGATATGTGATCCCTAACCAATGGAAATATATACTTTGTACTGGGAAATAGCTTTTTAAGGTGTTTCTTTTGGTTGGAGAGCACATATTGTTATTAAATAAGATTTCCCAAACCCCTGTGGAATTAGCACTATTTCATAAAACACTTCATAAATATACAACAAATGAGAGATTAACAGGATGCTGTATTAACCAGATGTTGTTAAACATTAGACAAACAAAATAAGGGTATATATACTGCACCTCAACGTCATGAAAAATTTCCTGTATATAAAATATCACTTGACATATAAAAATTTCTTAACAGTGATTTTCACACTAGACGGAATAGATGAGAATTAAACACACAAAGAAATCTAAAAAGTGTCAAAAAGAATTCTACACTAAAATGTCAGAAATTCTGGAGGATTGATTGATTGCATATTGTCAATCTTGACTATATCCATGGTAATGAAATTTAGAAAGAAATATGCAGATCAAACCTAATAGTTAATTTGAAGACCATAACAAGCAAAGTATCATTTTGAAATCATTTTCAATTACGGAATTTCTTAACATGGAGGTCAAATGATAAAAAATTCTATGTAGCACAATAATTTGATATAAAATTTTCTCTGAAGTGAACTAGATTTTATGGAAATTTCTGCAGGAAAGAATATACAAAGTATACCGTTAAACATTAACTCTGCAAGCATTTAAAGAATAAACTGCTTCGCTGAGCGCAGCTGGATACGCCTGCAGAGGTCCAACCCTGAACAGTTTGGTAAAGTGGACACAATATTCAAGCTTGATACAGGTCTGAATTTGGATTGTAATTAAATATTTGATATATTTTAGGTTTCTGAATAAATGTAGTCAAAGAACTTGAAATTGGTTATATGAAAGATTTCTTGCTGTTGTGCAATACACTGTGCTGTTGCACAATACTTAGTTAATCTGTTGTCAGACTATAAACAAATAAAATCTTATAACTCAGAAACGTAAAATTGAAAATTTATAAAAATCAAAAGGGAGCTTACAAAAATAGATATAAACAATTTACCAAAGTTTCATAAAAAACGCTGAAAGCATTTTTGAGTTATTGTTCGAAAACTGGAAAATCCCCCTTTTTGTAATGAATAAAACCCCATAAATCGGAAACGTATAGTCTGAAATTTATATACTCAAAAGGGAGCTCATGTCAATAGAAATAAACAATTCACTAAAGTTTCTTGCAAACTGGTGAAATTTTTTTTGAGTTATTGTCTGAAAACTGGAAAATCCCCCCTTTTTTAATGAATAAAACCCCAAAACTTGGAAATGGTAAATCTGAAATTCATAAAAAAAAACGAAAGGGAGCTCACGTCAATAGATATAAACAATTCCACAAAGTTTCATGCATATTGGTTAAAGCGTTTTTGAATTAATGTCCGACATGTTGCCGACGGACGGACAGACAGACTGACAGACAGACAGACGGACGGACAGACGGTCAACGGTATACCATAATATGTCCCATAAACGAGCGTATAAAAAAATATACCTCTGAAGTAGCTTTATCTAGACCATATGTCTGACGAATCTGTAATATCAGACTTTTAAGTAATGGTCCTATTGTTGAACTGTCTGGTGTTGTACCTATAAATCTAAAAATAAATATAACTGCATAAATAATTATTTTTTTTCTTATAAAACCACCAATGACAAGACCTCATTAAAATTTTTTATCCATCCACAATACTTTAGTTCTGAGATAGTCTAGTTTATTGTGTCTGACTTTATTTTACACACAAAAGTCATATGAGGATATTTGCAGAACTTTATGCACTGTGGGGATCAATACAACATTATCTGCGTAAAACCATCAACATATTGGCGATGCTTAATTCTTCTGTGTAAAAAATAAGGTAGATGCATAGAAAATATCACATGAGCAGCGTCGGATAGAAATCGACCTTATGCAAGTGCACGTATACATGTACATGTATAAGACTTTGCTTGATTTTGGAACTTTCAAATACGAAATAAAAGATAAATTTTGGTCTGTTTTGTTTTGTTTTTATATCAACTCAATTTTCAAACAGTTACAGACTTTGCATTAAGATTTTTCAACCCGAAATAAGTTAACAGGTGTATTAATATTGATTTGCATAAGGTCGCTTTCTATCCGACACAGCTCACATGATATGACTTTTTAAATCTCCAAACTGAAACAACAATTATTGCAGAAATTCTCTTATTTTGTCTTTTTATTATCTATTACATTTGTGTATATGAACCTTCATGATAAATTTCATTTCACTTTATCCTGACTTTTTATCTTGTGAAATGTAACTAACTCTGAATAAAAAAAAATTAACCACGTCATATAGCTGATACAATCATGTTAAATATCCTTATTCTTGGTTTAGGGAGTTTACTAATTTATTCATTTACTTTTCTATAAAAATATCATTTCTAAAAATATGATTTGGTAAAATCTTTGACTTGAAATATGTAGCACATGCATCAACTGTGTAAGAAACTCATTCCTGAAACAAGAAACAAACAGTCATGGTTTGTATAAAATTCATTGCTCCATGGCTTATCAAACCTTGTTTGTAACAAATCAATGGAAAATATGTATTTATTTGGGAATCAAAATTCATGGTGATGTCCACAAATATTATTTATGAAAATTAACATCACTTGAATATAATGGTACTTTTACAGTATTCAAAATTCAAACAATATTAGTTTAAGTTTACCTGCATAAAACTACAGCCTGCTTTTTCCAGATTGATTTTGTCAGTTTAGCAGCCATAGCCATAATGGAAGTTTTACCACAGCCAGAAAATCCATGTATCACTAACGGATTTTCTGAATTCCCTGTTACATAGGCTTTTATTCTCTGAAATAATGTTAAATAAATACTTGAATCAAAATTCTAATTTAAATGGTAAAAAAGAAAATCAAATCATCAAAAACCCAAAATCATGTGTCAAGCAATAAAAAAATACCCAAAGCTTTATCATATTTCTGTAATTAGGCCCCTCAACGGTTAATGCAACCATAATGAATAGGGGGCAGATTTTTTGGATAGAGGTGCAAATAGCATGAAAGTACGGGAAATCCTATGCATGTTTCCAAGCAACAGTTCTGTTTCAATGATGTTTTCCCCGTATTTTTCAAACCATTTGCACATCCATTATGAAAATCTGCCCCCTATTCAATATGGCTGCAATAACCGTGAAAAGGCCTATTCTTATAACATTACTGATAAGGTCTTTAAAAATAAAACTAATACAATTACATAATCATATCACAATAAAAAGAACCAACGACCAGTATAATACTTAAAGTTAGAATAAAATCATACTTTTAAAATATCCTCCCGTCCTTGGAAACCATGACATTTTTCCTGACAGAATACTATATGCTGCTTACACTCTTCTAGCAAAGGATCAACTAGTTCCTGCTTTTCCCTTTCCTTGATAGCTCTATCTATCATATCCTGCATGTAGGTTACCAGGTCTTCACTGATCTGCTTTAAATATTTAGCATGTTCCTTGTTTTCTGGATCTATTCCTGCAGAAGAGAACAACAAATGCTAGAAAAACTGAAATTTTGACTTTTGAAAATGAGAGCTCTATATCAAAATTCCATACAATTATGAGCACAAGGAATAAGTATAAGATTTTAACTAATCATTAATAGATGACAATATAACCATGTGTTTATACAAAATTCTGTTGAAATACAGGGTACATTAAATTAGCGCAATGCAACTGAAAATCATGTTTAAATTTAGGCTAAGGGGAGATAATCAAACATAGTATTATGAATATGACATAGTGAAATATAAACATGCATCATCAACAAATGAAGCTCTCATTTGGCAATGTTTTTTGAGGTTTGTTTACAAGTGCAATATTGATTCCTGTGTTTTGAATCAGAGTCTTTCAGAGCCTACCAGTGATGAGGGGTTTTAGAGAGAACCTTAATACATTTATATAAATTCCATGTTGACTAATCTGACTTTTAATTTTAAAACTATATTACATCGCTAATGTAATGCTGAAAGACTCATTACAAAGACTATTAAATGGTTTTTAACATTGCTATGATTATTTAGGGAGAAAAAATACTAAAATGAAAGAAGAATGTGTCCATGGGACACAGATGCCCCTGCTTGAAAATATAAGGCAAATTCAACAATTTTTCCATTTATAAAGGGACATAACTCGAGAACATTGAAAGTGACACTACCCAAATTCAAATTTTATTTGTGTTTGGTGGTAATAAATATTGTGAAGATAATAGTGTATACATTTCATAACATTTGGTTGAGGCAAACTAAGGTTAGAGATCAGAAACTAATTTTGGGATGTAAATAGGACGTTCAAGGGTAAATCTTAATGCCCCTGTCACCCAACAGCAGGGGCTTAAAAATATGTAAAATTCACTTCAAGTGTTGAATCAGATACATGGACTATGTTTTGTTTGTTGTTGTTTGTATGTCTGTTTTTTTTGTAGGTGTAAGGTGTTGGTGGTTGATGTCATCTGTTTTCTGTGCTGTATTTTTGCCCATTCCTGTTATTACTTTTTGTGTAGTAATATCAAGTATATAAAATAGTTTTTTTTTCTATTTTTAGATGAGCTATTGATTTTCTGCACTGATGTTTTGTTATATCTATTGCCACAAACATCACACACGTGATAACTTATATTTGTTCAAGTGCATGTGAAAAGTTAAACTCACACTCAAAATAAAACATGCATTTCAAATATTTCAAATACCTCTTTTATAGCTTCCCTCTGATTAAATTACATGCATAAAAATTGAAATATCAATAACTGAGAAAAAAAAAATACAACAATATCAAATGTACATAAATAAACATCTCATTAATAAGCAGACAATATTTTGTACAGTCTAAGAACTGAATATTTTGTTTATACCATGGCCAAAAGGCCACAAACCACAATTAAATTCCTCTATTAGTTCTTTATAACGTTTTGTCTCATTAAAAAAATTGCACCATGCCTTTTTGTCAAATCTTTTGTGTGTGTAATGTATAGTACTAGTCCAAAAATATATCCAAAATTCAGAAAGATTGAACCAATCACTCTTACAAATTTAGCCAATACACATCCATACCCCTATGGACAAGTCAAGAGATGTTCCGAAAACTGTAAATATGACCTTTTTGCACCTGGCCTAATCACTCTTTCCATATCAAAATCAGTTAAAATACAACATCCAAAAGTTTATTTCACCTCTCTTCTTTCATTTGCAACCAAAAAAACTAAGAAATGAATGAGGAAGGGAAAGAAAAAAAAATAAGAAAAAATACACTCTAATTAAAAGGAACTATATTCGTGGACAACGGAAAGCGGGGTCATTAATTGTGGTCTTGGGCCTATTAAAATCCATGACTTATTCTGCCATAGATTTCTTTTTATTATAAAAAGTGCCATTTTCTTTTAAAATTTGCAATTCAATATTGTACATTTTGCCAGATGACTTCGCTCAATTTCTTGTTTTAATACAAAGCACAATATTGGTCCTTATTCAATTATCATTCAGAATACACATTTAATTTCTTACAATGAAGATCTGCCACACAATTTCATTGGCCATACTTAAAAATTAGAGACTTATAACTTAGATATGAGCGTATCATTTCATTATTTCTATAATTTTGAAATCCTAATGAAATAGATATCAAATTCAGCAAAGGTGTAGCATATAAAACTAACAACAACAACAACAACAACAATACTTTATTTTAAGAGGGTTACACAGTTAGCTATATAACTAATCTTCCCTGAGGCCCTCATCATAAAAATCAAACAAAATGCAAACATATACATTGCATACATTAGTATAAAAAGACAAGTATGATAATAATGTTCAATACAACTTGATAAAATGTTATGAAAAAATAAACGTGATGACATAATCAGTTTTCAATATTTTTTATACAGCTAGGTTGATTTCAATAAATGATCTGTTATTTTGTATTTGAAAGAATTAACATTTGTAATATTTCTGAACGGTATTGGCAAATTATTCCACAAGAATGGTCCAGAAAACATAAAAGATTTTTTGAACAATTCTGTTTTTGGTTTTTGGTTTAGGATATATGCAACCTACCTCCAGGTTTCCAATTTACATTATACTGTACAATATTCTTGGAAGGAAGAACTTTTGACATTCTCTCCTCCTTAAGTTCTGACAAAAGCTTTCTAGATTTCTTCCATTTTTCTTCCTCACCAAGACAATCTTCAAGAATAAAGGGATACAGATTATTTCTATTGAATTATTTGATTAATAAATTCCAATAATGCAATGTACCTCAAAAGAAAACATTCCAAAATTATTCAATGTTTTTACCAAATATCTATAAAAATATTTCTAGATTTACAAAGGGACACAACTCATAAAAAAAAAATAGCAGATGAACACTAAAAATCGTTTTTTTAAGATAAAACATATACTTCATTGAAATGAAAATTAACACACAAAATATCAATTGTCAATTTGTAAGTCACAACCAATGGAAGAAAACAATATTTTACATTTAAATACATGATATTTTTAATTTATTGCTTTACAAGTTAAATGACACATTTCTTGTAATCTTTAGGTAACAAAAACCAAAAGTTTTAACTCCATGCATCAAAGGAACTGAGAAACATATTGTTAATTGCATATTCTACTTAATTAACATTAAAGGTCAATATAATAAAAAGAACACAAATCCATGAATTAAAATATATAAAAATATGCAAAACCACACTAATAATTAACTCATACACTATGGATATTCATGATTTTCAGTGTCACTTGCTGAACATTTCAGAAATTTGAATTCTTGAATTGTTTCTGTCCAAGAAATCCAAATATATTCTAGTACATGTAGTGGCATATACCTGTGTCACTAATGAAATTTAGTACACGCTACTTTGCCATCAAATAGACATACCAGTGATTCAAAAGCTATAACCTACTTAGTACTATGACTTTAATATTATTCCCAATACTTTACTTTGACAATGATCATTATGATGCGCTGGTCATCTTGGATTTCTAACAATGTAATAAGATCTCTATCGGATATGATTTAAAGGGGCACTAGCTACAAGATACATAAAAAAATTAAATTATGATTTTTTTTGTTCAATCATTAATGAAAGTGAAATAGTGAAATAATAATTCGCTATTAGCAGCCAGTGTGGTGACCTCCTTGAATCGGTATTCATGTGAACTTTAATTTAACCCCTTAGCTAGAGATGGATTATGCATGATTGATGCGTGTTAGGCTATTAAAAGAAAAGAATGTCAGCATTGAAAGTGAAACAAAGGTAAATCCTTTGATTGACTTATTCGATCCAACAAAAATCATTCTTATAAAGGTAAAATTGATAATTAACTTATTTTTTTTAACCTTAAAATCGAAATCAAACAGATATAGAAAAATCCATATGCACAAGGTCCATATATCTGTTTATATTTATGTTTATGTTTATATCGTGTTATGTGACCGTCGGTTGTTTTCGGGGTCATCTCGATAGTTAATTAGATAGCGTCTAGACTAAAATACACACGAAACGAATCTACCTATTATAGAGCCCATGCCCTGTAAATTGTTTATTTTAGACTTTTTATAATTTGGATGAATGTTTTACATTGTTATAAATCTAATGTGAGAATTTGAGTCAAATGAGTGAACATGAATTTGACAGCTAGTGCCCCTTTAAAAATATTACCTATATATCTTGACAATGGTTTTGATGGTATGTCATCTTCAATTTTCTCTATGTTACGTTTAAACCATATACAGCATGTCTCTGGATGCTTAATGTCTAATAATCCCATCTGTACTTCTCTTTCTGTTACTGTAATAAAAAGAAATTATCTGGGTCAAAATAAATTCTTTTAAAAAGCTTCGATTTTTTAGAAAAGAAATTCCTATTAAGGCTGATTGTGCAATTTGTAAATTGTTTTAGGATGCAAGCTTATAAAAAAAGTGTTTTATATTTCAAGAACAAAATAGAAGATTTCTAATAATTACTGTGTACCCACCTCAGATTTTTTTTTAATAAAAATTTCTAATAAAAAATACACATTTATTTAAAGACAACATTAATGTTAAAGAGTTATGTATCACTCTCAGAAGAGCTATAGGACCCCCAAAAAAACAAGTCTTCACCTCCCTGGTGACATCTTTTAGCACATACATATGGACTGATGTCCTTTGCTAAATTACACATCAAAATGAAAAATTGATACAGAAAGATTTGTGCTAACAATGTGAACAAATGTTTTAGTGTAAATTTCAGCTATTGTTAAGCATTTAAAAATCATGGGACATATAGTAACAATAGTATCACAGAGATGATATTAACCTGACACCAAATAATTTCTAGCTTTTTCAGGCCCAAGACATTTTTCTGCAGTAGCAGCTAAAAGATCCTGCATTTTATCACTGTGTATCCACCATATTGCTTTGGCTTTATTTTTATCATCGACATTGGAGGAGATAAAATCAGGAAGTTGTGTACTGATTCTTTGGAGAACATAAACTGGTGGTACAGCATTGTCATCTCTCTTATACCATCTTTAAAATAAATATATATTTCTTCTGTATACTGTATATAATAATGGCTATGATCCACATTTTTTTACTTATGAAAAATTAGAAATAAGAATGGGTAAAAAAATAATAAATAAAGAATAATAGGCAAAATAAATTAGAGAAGAGAAAAATATCCTAAAATCCAGACCTTCAAATAAAAATTTCTAAATCATAAACTATAAAAAAAAAGACCTATATTCTTTTTAAAGAATCTATGAATAATTGACTTATTAACTCTCATTTCTGTCCCCAGGATTTCCTTATGATCCATATTGTGAAAAGAACAGAACACATTGTTCTTTAAACACTTTATCGATCAATATTGGCATCTAAAACCTGTTATATGTATTGTTGCACATATTGTAATGTTTGTAGTGAAGAAAGAACTTTTAAACAAGAGAAGTTTTTCAAATTTAACAACAAACAGAATTTTTTTTAGATATACACAAACAAAACGCAATATAAACTTACTTTGTTAGCAGTTCTTTATCTTCTGTAGAGTCAATGGCTTGTAACAATTGTTCAAATTCTTTTGCTTCAATCTGTTTTAGGAGATTTCTGTATCCATACTTGTGAGACAATAGGCTCTACAACACAGATACTGGTATCTCATTATCTAATATCTAATGTAAGTGAACTTAAGAAGAAAGAACAAAATTCATCCTACAAAATATGATAGCTATCGGTCAAAAAAACCCAAAGCAGTTGTGTTCACAAATAGATCATAAATATGTCACTCCTTTTTAATTTTAAAGCAGAGGACAGATATTTTCAGCAACGGTTGTCACATTGGGTGCAACTGTCAAACGTTATCATCTAAAGAGGAGCCAATTTTCAAAATAAAGTATTTGGAGAATTTATTGTTGATGATTGGTCTTTGAGATAGTCTCTGTTAAATTTATTGACAACTTTTTTATACTTTAGAACTTAAAAATTGTATAGACACCTGTCTAATGTTGAAGATTGTACTTTTGACCTCTTGATGTATTATAGTTTTTTGTGTCGCTGGGTTGCTAACTCATGGACTTGCATCCAACATCTTCCTTAATTTGCAAAGATAAAGGCAGAAAGAAAGATTAATCTTACAAATTTCAAACAAGAATTCAATTTATACATCAACTGCCAGTTTCCTTCTTTCATTGTCAAGCAGAGCCATCAAAATAAAGTTTAACTTGATACATTAATTAGTGATTATTATGATTAGTTTAGATCTATTATGGCAGGACTGTAGCCAAGATGTCTCTTAGAGGGTTATTTGGGGTCGTGACTCTAAACTTTCTGAATTTTGACTTAATAGTATATAATTGTAATTTTTGTTTTCAGGAAGGGGGGACCTCCCTGGCAATGGGTTTGAATGGTCAGGTGGTTTCCTAATGGATTTCCTACTGATAATTGACAAACTTTAAAATTTAGACATGTCCATCAGAAATTGATCTGGTTGAATTTAGTGCATTTAAATTTTAGCTATCAACTGAGACATTTTTATTTGTCATGTTTGTATCAGTCATTTTAGGCCTAAATTATTTACCTTAATATAGATCTGAAGCTTTAATTTTAGATCAATTATTTTTTCACTTGAAATTACTTCTTCATGGGTATGAGCAATCAACTACATCATTGTACCATGAAAAATACCCAATAAAATTTAAGTAAATTGGATTGTAGGTTCAACATGTGTTTTCAGCTAAAATAATAACGATTTTAATGAAATAAAATAATCAACCCTGACAATTTTCAAAGATAGCCATTAATACTTTATATATACCTAACAAATTTCAAATTTTTCCATTTAATGCCTGCAGATCTTGTATATTATTATTCTTTTTGTAAAATTATGTGAATTGTTTATGTCACTAATCGTTGTGTAACTTTAAATAAAACAGCTGATAATTTTTAAATCTAGTTTTGACAGTAGTTTATTAATTTACATTTTATTACACAATATTATTGTTGGTTGAATGGCTATTTTTTTATCTTACTTTTCTTCATTTGTGTAACAAATTATATGTTTGCAAAATAAAAATAAAACTCTTTACGGAAATTGGACCATTGATGTGCATTAAAGCAGACGCAAGTTGGGAAATCTAGGTTTAACCTGTATAAATCTTAATATTCAAGCTGCACAGTATAGACTCAATATTTCATTGGGGATATTTATTTCAAGGCAACTTTGCTAAACTCTGAAGTTCATTACTTCAAGAGCACTGGTGAAATTGAATAAGTTATATGATCATTTTCAAACTGTTTTTTGGTAGCAGCACTGACTAGATTTCCTGATTTGTCCTTCTAGCATTTAAACATTTTTTCATTACAAAGAGGGCAAATTAATTATGCATACATGTTTTTAATAATTATTCATAAACTGCAGTCACAAAAACAGCTTTAACCTGACAAACATATTCACCACAAAATTGGGACCAGTTGACAGTTTTTGACATTGTTCCAATTCCTTGAGGCAAAGATCTACAGCGCTGTGGTCATCTGCAGCTTCATCTCTGACTCCCCATCTCATATCAACAACCTGGAACTCGTAACCATGGTCACGACAAAAAGATTGAATTCTGGGATAGGAATGAACCATCCAAGAATTTCTTTCATATTTTGTATCTACAAAATGAAGAAAAAAAACATATGATAACACTGAAATATTTTATAGTATTCATACAGACCATTTCTTTTCTTGGTTAACTACTGGTAATTCAGAAATTATTGCGTGCATTTATTATTGCAATTTTTGAAGTACGGACACAAATGCGAGATTAATTATTGCGATTTCAGGAAAATCTGCTTACAGATATATGAATCAGATATCAGAAGGCTAGTTCTTATTATTAAGATACTCAGCCAGTCGCATTAATGAAAACCTCGAAATAATTTCTGGATTTACAGTATTTCATTGTATCACTCCTCAGTAACTCAAGACTGTTTAAGAAATCCTACTCATATAGCTACTAGAGTTTTATTTTATCCTTCTGTTAACAATCAGACTGCTTCTATATAAATCATGGTCTTTTTGGATATTAGTATCGTTGGTTTGCTGTATCACAGACATTACCCAACATCTCATTTTATTCTCATTCATTAACTTCATTCATTTTGACCATACTTAATAGTATATACATTGTATCATTCTAATATAACTGTATTTTAACCTAAAGGCTACAGATAACAGATAAGTAAGAATTTTAAACATTGTTATTAAGTGAAAAAAATCTTATCAATACAAAAGAAAATATTGTTTTAAGATATAAAAATTGAATCAAATAACATGTTATATGTCTGTCATCAAATCTTTTTAATAATTTACTGACTATTCACTGTTGGTCAAATAATTGATTTCATATATTGAAAAATTTGTTACAACCAAATGTTTATTCAGATTAACAGACTTGAAATAGTATATATTTTTCTTTGGTAAAATTAAATTTAACTTTTGAAATGATTTTAATACGTAGCCAGTGACTCATAATGAACCTTTCAGAAATATTTTATCAATAAAATGTTTAGGTCTTATGAAATCATATCTTGTCATAAATGTGAATTCAATATGATTGTTTTCAAATCATATCTTGTCCTTATTGTAACATCAATATGATTGTTTTCAAATCATATCTTGTCCTTATTGCAACATCATTATTGTTCATAGATTTTATTTCAAATTTTGAGAATAATTTTGAATATACCTGTAAAAGTACTACTGGTAAATATTCTGACGATTTTGGCAGTGGGAGGAAAATGTTGATTGATATCTCCCAACAATATTGGATTACTTGTACATTTCTCTTTCTTCGCCTGAATTTTTGCCATGCTAAAACCACGGCTAAACTTTTTCTGGACATGTGCCTTCCGACTAACAGCGGTTGATATCCTTTTCTTTGCAAGTTCAAAATCTGTCTTTTCCTTATCATATGCAGGACGGCCATTTTGAACTGTTGATTTTTTATCTTTTACTGTACATGTACTTGTTTGTTGGTTGCTTGATTGTCCATTGACTTGTCCACCATTCTGCTGAGGAGCTGGCTTACTACTTTTTTGGACTGTCTTTGACAAGGGCTGTTTATTCTCTGTCCTACATAAAAGACATTAGAACGGTAAATACAAATCTACTTATTGTGTTATCATGTTATACCATGATGGGTGCTTACCTTTTCAAAGCACCTGAGAACTCTCTTGAATTTTGGTAGCCACTGGAGTTTGTGTTGCTCAGTCTAGAGTTTTCTATGCAATGTTTTGTATACTGTTGTTTTTTTAGGATTGTTTTTTTTTTTTTTTTTTTTTAGATGGAGTTGTCAATTTGTCATCAACTTATGAGTTTGAATATTCCCTTGATATCTTCAACCTCTCTTTTGTTATAGATACAACAACAACCATTCCTTAAGGAATGACTGTAATATTTTTTTCTGTCTATGAAGAAATAACATCAAAAATGTGGTGCACACTGAATAACATGTGTAGTGGGTTATATTAAAGTGTGAACCACTTTTTTTAGGTTATTTCAAATAGACAGAAATTATAAAGGGGCATAACTCAATAATGGTTAAAGTGACACTACCCAAATTCAACTTGATCTGTGTTTTATCAGTGGAAGGCAAAATTAAACATTGCATTGTATAAAGCATTGATTGTAGTTGATTCAACTATAATCATGGACATAGGATGATAACTCCAATTTTAAAAATTACTTGAACAATGACATCATTGAAATTTTTACTTGATCTGTGTTTTGTGGTAATAAGCATTGTGTATAAGTTTCATAACATTTGGTTGAGGCAAACTTAAGTAAGAGAACAGAAATGAAAAATTTTGCAATTTGTCCATTTATAAAGGGGCATAACTCTAGAATGGTTAAAGTGACACCACCAAAATTCAACCTTTAAATCTGTGTTTTGTGGTAATAAGCATTGTGTATAAGTTTGATAACATTTGGTTGAGGCAAACTTAAATTAGAGAACGGAAACCAATTTTGGGACGTACGGACAGACGGACAAGGGTAAAACTTAATGCCCCCTCCACTTCGGCAGGGGCATAAAAATATTACTGTCATTCCGTATAATTCAATTCTAAATTTCATTTTAAGGCGTAAATCATGAAAAAACATCGATGACGTCACAGTCACATGACAAAATTATCTCTATGAGCTGATAGACACAAAACGATCAGCCAATCAGAAGACGTGTTACATCACCTATTAAATCATTTTACAAAGTTGTTAAAACTGTGCTCCTGAATTTTGGATTTGAGAACTTGGTAATGGTGGTTTTAATTAGTAAATCAGACACATAACAATGTAAGTAACAGTAAATCTATTCTGAGAGTGTACTCTGTCCTTTAGTAGTGAAGTCAATAGAGTAAAAATTCTATGGCAACAAGTCTCTCTGGTTGTATTCCCCAGAGTGAGGAAGATATCCACTAAGTCAGTTCATATAATAGAAATTTTATTGACACCTGAATGAATGTACACCTATACAATACACCTTATCGCTATTCCTGCTTGACCCGAGAATCTGTCCCACTCGAACTTTTGACGTCATACAACAATCACTTTTCCATTGTGGCGTCAGACATTTTCTATTATGACGTCAAAATTTTACGGGAACTTGTGTGATGTCCAGTAATGGCGGACAAATAGCGATAAGGTGTATATCAAGCTTAAGCAAGATACTTAGATCATCAATATGAGCTAGTTCTTTCAAGGTTTTAAAACGTCATAACTCTTTATCAGCTATTTCACTCATGGATTTTTTTTTACATTTTTTCAGAGGTGAAAAATTTGGCAGTATAAACTCATTTTGTTTCTTCCTTAAACTAGTAGGGGTATTTTGTTAGTTAAATATTCATTTCATTCTGATGGTATGATTATGCAATAATTATAGATACTCTCTCCTATGTAGATACAGCCCATATTTCTTCATATAAAAAGTTCCTATCATGGGCAAAGCACAATCAAACAGGTTACACCTATTGAGATGATTTTAGTTCTTGTTGATAAGATGGGGCTTAAATAATGTACTACTTTTCAAATACTTCTGACATTATGATTCATGGAATGTTTGTATTTAAGCTTATCAAACCTTAATTCATTTGTATCATAAAACATAATTACAGATAAATATACTTGCAGGCTTATTTGCCATTGTGTTGGATATTTACAAATATATTTCCCCAAGTTGACCCAGAAAGATTTGTAGACCTTCTTCAAAAGGAGTTGGGAGATTGTCCTTCAACATTTCCTTTCATACACTTCAATGATAATTCAAGTGATTCAAATGTACCACAGATCCCCTACTACTTTCCCCCTTTGCCAAAGCATTTGGCATTGTAGGTACGAGAACACTTAATTTACCACTAAATATGCCTACAGCCATTTCGCTAGCCAAGGATTATAATCAAGTCCCCTCGTGGAAAGGAGGGAACTGGATCGTAACAATTGGCTAGCAAAGATGGCCCTAGAGCTAGAATAGATTTTTAATATCATTGCAAAACTAAATTAACCCAAAAACATCAAATTTTCAGAGCATTCCTCTGTTAAAAATATAAGTTACTTTTAAAAAACACCTTCTGTCTCCCACAATTACTTTCTGATTTTGACAAAAGGAGTATGTACAAGAAGGCCAGATTAGCCCCAAAAATCAAACTTTTATAATACCATATGTAAAAACCTATATTATATTACAATTTTAAATATATATAAATCTAAATAAACTTGACACTTTTGTTGTTTGCTGTTTATTTCAACAATGTTGACATATCATATAAGTATGATATTTTACAAGTTTTTAACCAAATTGCATGTTTATATGTATTTGAAAGGTCTATTTCTGTTTGAAAAACATTGGCCACACCTTTCAACCAAAATGAGATTGTTATGAAAAGATGTATATGGGTCAGGTACACATTCTTAAAGCAAAAACTATATAAATTTAGGCAAATCATGATTTTCTTCATTTGAGAGCACAATTATGACTTTATAATGACATCACAATTGTTCTTATGGTGTCAGATATTTTTACATATTTTGTCATCCAATTTTTATTCTTGCACTACAATTTTTTTGTGAACCAAATGAAATTTTTCCACAGATTAAAATTCATCTCATATTGGTCAATCTATTTAAACTTTTGTCAGCTGACACTATAATTGTCCCATTGAATAAATACAATATATACACTGCGCCCTCAGTGAAATAACCTTCTCGTGTTGACAATTTTGGATATTCACCTTTTCAACGGGCCATAATTGTTTTATTATACCGAACTAACAGTGGAAGGGCATTTTGAATCATTGTAAAAGCACTTACCCTTACTTGAGTCAGTAACAAACACAAGTTGACGTTCAAAAATACATGTAATTTGTGTCTTAGAATTCTCGTATGTACAACAAAGGTATATTCTTTTGTAAAATATTGATGGCCCTGAAAAGGACCGTTATTAGAGATATCATCGGCACAAGATGCACGTCAAAAGCCTTATTTCCGCTTCTCTCGATCAATGGGCTTCCTGTAACTTGAACGTTGCCATTTTGTTTATTCACGTTTGTGACGTCATTTTCATGAGTACAAATCAACAAAATAAAAAGGTTGTTCGCCGGTGAATAATAGGGTTATTCAACGCTGGTGTAAATTTTTAGGGTTATTCGTTCTTCCTTGCAATTGAATGAAAATTAACTGAATTATTCCATGTCACGTGATAACGTTTTACCCAATAGAATTGTTTGAAATATATGTAAGGTATAATAATAGTTATTGTTCTCTGTGTGACCTTTAAATTTCTTCTAAGAGAAATCCATCACTCATTGATTAATTTACCTGAGAAAAAAAATCATCTTCAAATTAGATGCAAATACATTACTCTAATTCTTACCCGATTTATCCTTTTCCTGACCTGTTGATTATTTTTATTTAATCAACATGTGGTTCGTTTGATCTCAGTTATTCATTGGTCAAAATTTGATTATGACGTCAAATTTTCTTGCTATCCTCTGAATTTCCTATTGTGACGTCATGAGAAAAGGCAACCATGCCTGGTGATGTCACATAGAAAGAACACATCTTTTTGCAGATCATTCAAAAAGAATGATTAAGATAAAAAATTGAGAATGGAAATGGGGAATGTGTCAAAGAGACAACAACCCTACCATAGAGCAGCGAGAAACTCCCGCACCCGGAGGCGTCCTTCAGCTGGCCCCTAAACAAATATGTATACTAGTTCAGTGATAATGGATGTCATACTAAACTCCAAATTATTCACAAGAAACTAAAATTAAAAATGATACAAGACTAAAAAAGGCCAGAGGCTCCTGACTTGGGACACGCGCAAAAATGCGGCGGGGTTAAACATGTTTTTTGAAATCTCAACCCTCCCCCTATACCTCTAGCCAATGTAGAAAAAACAAATGTACAACAGTACGCACAGTAAAACTCAGTTTAAGAGAAGTCCGAGTCCGATGTCAGAATAGGAAACGAAAGAAAATAAACAAAATGACAATAATACATAAATAACAACAGACTACTAGCAGTTACTGACATGCCAGCTCCAGACCACAATTAAACTGATTGAAAGATTATGTCTTCATCATATGAATATCAGGCACAATCCCTCCTGTTAGGGGTTTAGTATTATACCATCATAAAATATATGAGAAGAACATAAACCCGTGTCATGCCAACAACTTGTTTTAGAATAAATATGTTTAACTCCGATGCAAAGACCCTATAAGTGAATCAATATTAAAGCCAAAATATGCAATCTTTAATGACCTGACAACAGTATCGTAACTATATCCCTTCTTAATAAGTCTGTTTAAAGGTTTGGTTAGCTTTTGAGGTGAATGACGACATTTTTGTGCTTTGTATAGAATATTACCATAAAAGATTGGATGTGAAATACCTGAACGTATAAGATATCTGCATGTTGAGTTATATTTACAAATGATGTCCTTATACCGATGATAAAATTTAGTAAATGTTTTGACTAGTTTATGATATCGAAAACCCTGGTGTAATAATTTTTCAGCAATACATAAATTTCTCTCGCTAATATCTAACACGCTGTTACATACACGAGCGAATCATACAAGTTGAGATATATAAACACCATAAGATGGTGACAAGGGAACGTCACCATCTAAAAATGGATAATTAATGATAGGAAATGAAAAATCATCTCTTTTATCATAAATTTTTTGTATTAAGCTTCCCGTTAATGATATAGATATCAAGATCGAGGAAAGGACAGTGGTCATTGTTAGTATTAGCTTTAGTTAAAGTAAGTTCAACAAGATAAATTTCTTTAGTATACATACTGAAGTCGTCATTATTGAGAGCCAATATATATCATCCAAATATCTAAAAGTATTGTTAATTTTTTTGTATCAGATGTTGTTTCGATGAGTCTTTGCTGATTTTAGTCATAAATTGTAACTCATAACAATACAAAAACAGGTCCGCAATAAGTGGTGTACAGTTAGTCCCCATTGGAATTCCGATAACTTGACGATATACGGAATCTCCAAAGTGAACAAAAATGTTATCAAGTAAAAATTCAAGGGCAGATATAGTATCAAAGCATGTCCAATTGACATAGCTCTTTTGTTTGTTGCTACTAAAAAATGACCTAAAAGAGTTTGAACATATGTATTCGCATTCCAACTTTTTAAATGCCCATCTAATTAGGTGTGTGAATTTTTTCTTAATAAGAATATGAGGCAAAGTGGTATATAGGGTAGAAAAATCAAAACTTTGAACAGATTCAAAATCACCAATATATGCATGCAATTTATCAAGTACTTCCAACGAGTTTTTGACACTCCAAAAGTAGTTAATTCCACTATTTTCAAAGGCCTTATTTGAACAATTTATTATCAGGTTTTTGATTGTACCAAGTGTACTAGTAAGTAGAATAGACAATTTAGTAGTGGAACAATGACTTGAAGACGAAATAAATCTATATTTGTAAGGTGATTTGTGTAGCTTCGGAAGCCAGTACATAGTCTGTATATTGTCTGTATATTGTCTAAAAATCATTAGAGAAACAGATTCCACCACCAAATCTTGTGCAATACGATATTTATCAACCATCAACAGTTAAATTTAAAATATTCAAAACGCTCAGCGAGCCTCGCATTTTAAATTTGAAAATTTATCTGTCTCGAGTGAATAAATATTGTATCACACTTGATGCAGTGGTAGAATCTATATGTAACAACTCAAAAAATTGCATGTGATGTTGTATTTATTCAATATCAATAATATATTTTCAATCTATTCAATACAAACACTGATTTAATCAAGTTGATTTCTTCTCATTTCTTTCAAATTTTTTAGAATTGTTCCGATTGAAATTTGCATTTTTGTTTTGTTTAGTTATAGAATACATTTGAGAAGGCCTTTATTTAAACATCGTCATTTTCCAGTTTTTATTTGTCAAACACACAAAAAAAAAAATAATTTCAATAGAACAATGTTGAAAAATTTGTTAGAAATCAACTTTTAATGTTTGAATCAGTGTTTACATTGAACAGATTGAAAATATATTATTGATATTGAACAAATATAACATCACGTGCATATGCATATGCTAATTAACATCATTATAATTTAATTTAGAAGTTACAATGTATCATTTCAGTGTCTAAAGTTTGAGCATTTTTTGGTATTTTTCCAAAAAAATCCTTCAATTTCCTTACTAATACTTGACATAATATTGTGCCAACCTCTTCTTTTTTTATGTAAATACTTCTTGAATTAATTTTATATCATTCAAAGGCAGTTGTACTGATTATTCAATTTATATTCCATAAGTATACCAAGAAAGATGAAAAAAAATGCACTTTTCCTGAAAAATTTAATGAGGTAACTTTTCTTAAGCTAGGATAGAACAGTTGAATGATGCATTTCAATTACCCAAATAAGCTTGTATTCTTATCTTTAGAAAGGTAATAAACAATTTTATACATTCTATTGAGGCTAAGTCCATGAAGTCTGGTATTAAATTAACAAAGTCAAGTGATCACAAATTTTACCAATAACTTAAATGCCCAGTTTAATTTAGTAGCCCCAGTTGTATACTTTTTTACACCAAGATGTCGTTAAATGAAATTGGATACCTGCTTTTAAATAACATATGATCAAATCACTGAAAGACCCCTTTCTAAATTATTGAAAACTATCATTCTGCATTGACAATAATATCTTGGTGTAAATAAGATACACCCATTCAGGCTAATGCCCTCAAGGTGTCTTTTATACTTGAAAAATATTCATTTTGCATCTCTTTACCACACATAAACTATATATAATCATGATAATAAGCAGGATATTATGAATCCTGAAATTTTCTTCAATTCTCTGGTAAATTTCCCTGTATTATGTTATTTAATACTGTTCAAAAGTTAGGGGTAAATAATTGGAAACAGGGCAATGAAATGGGTCTATTCTTGTAAAAAGAGATGGAAGAAACCAAGGGAACAATATTTTTGTAAAATTTCTATTACATTCAAATGATTCAAGTCCCATTTTTATTTATCTCAGCTGAAATCTACATTATTTCAAGCTTGCAAGGATTTGTTGAAATAGTTTCAAAATACGAGAGCCCCCCCCCCCCCCCCCCCCCCTTTATGGAGCTACATTTATGATTTATGGTTAATCTAGACAGAATCTGTTCCACTCCAAACTTTATCTAGTTTGGGGGCTTGCTTGACCCCTTCCCCCTTTTCAAAATCCTGGATCCACATCTGAATACTACTAGGATCATGAGGTTGTCAAATGGTTGGACAATGATAAACAAGTTGTAGCTAGATACCGTGAGAATATCAATATCAATAAAGAGCTGGGCCATGAGCCCATGATACGCCCATTGCTTTTTCAACAAATAAAATTCCATTACTCCTCAATGTCATTTAAAAAACTAAAGGGAGCTTATTCTAATAGATATAAACCAGTCATCAAAGTTTCATGAAAACTGGAAAATCCCCCCTTTTTTAATGAATAAAATCCTTTAACTTGGAAACATAAAATCTAAAATTTATAAAAATTGAAAGGGAGCTTACGTCAATCAATATAAACAATTCACCAAAGTTTCGTGAAAACTGGATAAAGCGTTTTGAGTTATTGTCCTACATGTTGACGACAGATGGACGGACAGAGGTATACCATAATACGTCCTGTAAATGGGCGTATAAAAATTCAAAATCCTTGGTAAGACCTTCAGGAGATAAAAGCACAGTCAAGCACATAAAAAATTACCTTAATATCTATTTAAGATGCTTCTTTAATTGACATTGGGACCAACAGATAATTCATATATTAGTCCCAGCATCAAATTGTTTAGTATGGCTGAAATCTTTTACCATGGTCTTCTCAAAACCCACTTTTACTGGTTGTTGGGACTATTAAATTCAATATTATTGACATGAATGTCTTAACAGTGATTCCTCCTTTTATATGTGCTGTTGTGGTTTTATTTAAAGTCTCGGTTGTGTCCATCTACTTATTTCTACACTTTCTTTGAATTAAAATTCAAGCATATGGAAAAAAACAGCAAGTTATACCGAGAATTTTTTATAATAAACTTATCAACTTCATCCAATTGATAATTTTGAAAATCCATCTAGTTCCTTCATAAATTGGAGTTTGGTATCAGGAGGGTCCAACCAGAGACATATATACACATGTGTCTCTGGTCCAACCAATATATATGGCTAGTTGAAATGCAAAATTTCTGCCTCTATCCAACATACCCTCATTTGTCAGTCACAGTCAAATTTATTACTCTATCACAACCATGCCTACACATTTTATTAATTTCATATTTAGTTTGTCTTAACTATACATGAAATATTTGCCACTGGATGTTAAGCAAACAACAATTAGTCAACCGATAAGTGTGATCTATATAAAATATGGGGTTTACCTGTCCTTTTCGTAACAATTAACGTACACAACTGAACTTAGTTACAAGTAAATAGATTGACATTATAGATGTATCGATTTCCACAAAAATCAACACGTGTGGATTACATATAATGAAAATAAAATATACCTACCTTTCAGATGTAGAGGCTGCACTTGAGGCTTTAGAACTGCCGGACCCCATGGTCTCTCAAGAACACTTTTCGTACCGGGTATTCATCAGATATTCCATTCTAAAGAAAACATGTCTAATTATAAATTATATTTACGGGTGAATGGTTGTTTTTAGTGTGATCAGCTGATCTGATTTTAAATAGATCTGTGTGTACACTGTCACGAAATAGAAGTTCCTTCATGATATAAGTTCCAAATGAAAATGTATTCTGGAATATTATTTCTACTGGAATAAATATAACAGTATATGTTCCTAACGGAATAAATGGTATAGAATATTTGTTCCAACAGGAACAGATATTATGACATTGTTTGTAACAAAGTTTGCAGTGGAACATCTGTTAGGCGGAACAAATATACGTTGACACACTCTGAATGCACAGGTGTTTGTAGATGCTAATACACGTGCACGTGCACAACCGCCAGTTATTAGCCGTGTAAGTTGTCTTTTGTTGAGCGGTATCTTATTCTAAATAAACCATTATTGATTCCTTATTGGACTATTATAGTTTATTGTTAAGTTTGCTTATTAGGTGATATGATTCTTCAGAGACATATAATACATGTATTATATGTCTCTGGATTCTTATATACCTTGATTCGGAAGTAATTATTATCTGTATATTTAGTTGGACTTATGACATGTGGGGGGGGTTATGGATTTTACCTAACAAAATATTCTGATCCCAAATTTGATGAAAAAAAATATTGTGCTCAAGCATATGACAAAAAAAAAAATATTCTGAATCCAGATTTTCCCCATACCTTATAGTGCTAAATTAAAAAAAAATTACTTTGATTAATAGCGTCGAAAAAGTAAAAAACAAATTCCCGCATTGTGCGAAAGTAAATTTCTGCCTCAGACAAAAAACCATAACCCCCCTTGAAGTTAAATTGTTGCTCCTTAAGGACAATTTTTCAGTTTTGTATAAAAAATGTATTCTAAATGGATAATAAATAATGAAAGAGATGCTTCAAAAGTTGTGAAAATTTAACGGAAATATCAAAGATCTGCCACCAATACCAAATTCTCAACTAAAATACCTGGGGAATGTGTCCATGGAACACAGATGATGCCCCCGCTTGCATATAACGTTATAAAGGGACATAACTCAGGAACTGTTAAAAAAAAGACGCTACCCAAAGATCTTAGTTTTGTGGTAAGAGGCATTGTGTATAAGTTTCATAACATTTCGTTGAGACAAACTTAGGTTAGAGAACGGAAACATAAAATTCACCAATTTTTACATTTAAAAAGGGGCAGAACTCTAGAATGGTAAAAGTGACACCACCAAAATTCAAACTTGATCTGTGTTTTGTGGTAATAAGCACTGTGTATAAGATTCATAACATTTGGTTGAGGCAAAATTAAGTTAGAGAATGGAAACATAAGATTCACCAATTTTTTCATTTAAAAAGGGGCATAACTCTAGAACGGTAAAAGTGACACCACCAAAATTCAAACTTGATCTGTATTTTGTGGTAATAAGCATTATGTATAAGATTCATAACATTTAGTTGAGGCAAACTTAAGTTAAAGAATGGAAACGAAAAATTTAGCTATTTTTCCATTTGTAGAGGGGCATAACTCTAGATAGGTAAAAATGACACCACCCAAACTCCAACTTGATCTGTATTTTGTGGTAATTGTAGCATTGTGTATAAGTTTCATAACAATTGGTTGAGGCAAACTACAGTTAGAGAACGGAAACCAATTTTGGGAAGTACGGACAGACGTACAGACTGAGAAGGGTAAAACCTAATGTCCCCTCCGCGGGGGCATTAAAAACTCAACAAATCTATATTGATATATATATATAATAAGACAAGGTTTTATTTCCTGACCTGGGAGAGGCAAATGAAAGAATGGAGGTGCTACAAATTTTTTTTTTAGGTCTCAACCTTCATCCTTTTTAATCTTAATTGCTTCAAACTGATAAATTTGCTATTTAATATATATTAAAATAAAATGCTCGGCTGGGCGCAGCTTGATACGACGGCAGAGGTCGAACCCTGAACAGTTGGGGCAAGTATGGACACAACATTCAAGCTTGATACAGCACTGAATTTGGATTGTGATTAAATATTTGACACAGCATAGGTTTCTGACACAGAATGACTATAGTCTAAGAACTAAAAAATTTTTAATTTACCTATTCAAACCATATCATTATTATTTGCTTTTATATATAAATCAGAAATAACCAATTTAAAATGGAAAATTTTAAAGAAAAAAAAAAGGAACCCCTCCCAAATTTTTTGAACCCCCTTATGATTCATCACCCCCAAACTCAATCCCAGCCTTCCCTTTGTGGTATGGTACCTTTCAGTACAATTTCAGAGAGATCCATACACTTGAACACAAGTTATTGTCTGGAAACTAGAAAAATGCTTGTTTTTTGGCCCTTTTTTGGCCCCAAATTCCTAAACATTTAGGGCAATTACCCCCAAACTCAAACCCAGATTTCCCTTTGTGATATGGAACCTTGTAGAAAAATTTCATAAAGATCCATACACTTACACACAAGTTATTGTCATGAAACTAGAAAAATGCTTGTTTTTTGCCCCTTTTTGGCCCTTAATTACTTAAAATTTGGAGGCAATTACCCCAAAAATCAATCCCAGCCTTCCCTTTGTGGTATGGTACCTTGCAGTACAATTTCAGAGAGATCCATACACTTGAACACAAGTTATTGTCTGGAAACTAGAAAAATGCTTATTTTTGGCCCCTTTTTGGCCCCTTATTCCTAAACGTTACGGGCAATTATCCCCAAACTCAATTCCAGCTTTCCCTATGTGATATTGAAGCTTGTAGTACAATTTCAGAAAGATCCATATACGTACACACAAGTTATTGTCATGAAACTAGAAAAATGCTTGTTTTTAGCCCCTTTTTTGGCCCCTAATTCCTAAAATTTTGAGGCAATTACCCCCAAAATCAATCCCAGCATTCCCTTTGTGATATGAAACCTTGTGGTACAATGTCAGAGAGATCCATACACTAACACACAAGTGATGTCTGGAAGTTACCAAAATGCTTATTTTTGGCCCTTTTTGGCCCCTAATTCCTTAACTGTTGGTACCATAACCCCCAAAATCAATCCCAACCTTCCTTTTGTGGTATTGAACCTTATGGTAAAATTTTATAAAGATCTATTCACTTAAACTAAAGTTAGAGTGCGAAAACCAATGTGTCTTTGGACGACGACGACGACTACAACGACGACGACTATAACAACGACGATACCAATATACGACCGCAAAAATTTTTTGCAGTCATATAAAAACCACAAAAAATTGATAAAAGCAGTGATAGAACAACATTATAGTTAAAATGTATCATCATATTTTGTTTAAGCCAAAAAGAAAGATTTTAAAGACAATTACTAAGCTTGTAAGCTTTATAAATAATATTATTATAAGAAACTGAATCCAAAACGTCTAGTTTATATGCAATTCTTGGTGTTAGAATTATACTTCCCCAATAAATCACACTAAAAATAAAGTTTTAACATAAATATGATATCTATCCCTGCTGTCAATGTTTAAGCTAAGGATGTTATGTTCATTGAGATCATCGAGGTCACAACAAACACAGGAATATCACACCTACTGATGAGGAGCCAGTGGAATTTCAGCATCAAGGAAAGGAAAATAATAATAAGAAAGGAAAAGTCATCTTGTTTATTATCATAAAATTGGTATGAAGATTACTATAATCAATTCTTATATCAAGGTATCAATAAGATCATTGGTTATTTTTACTGATCATGATTGAATTTTATGTTGATAGTCTTAAAGATCAAGCTTTTACTACAGATATCACATAAACTTATTATCAAGATCCATGAAAATAAGGTCAAGGTAATATTAGCCCTTCCAGACATGAACATCTTACAATAATTCTATACACCAAATATAGTTGATACAATGCTAATAGTATCTGAGAAACTGCTGTGAACAAAAAATTTTGAATTGACTAATAAACAAGGAAAATGAAACCAAGGTCAGATGAATTTAATAAATGGCTATATACTACTAACAATCATTTCATACACCAAATATAGTTGACCAAATGCTTGAAATACAGTAGATCTATTCATATTTGTAGGTACCAATTTTGTGGTTTGGAGAAAAATTATTTTTTTGTGGATACAGGATTCTGTTGATTTGCCAAAGTTTGTATTCAATATAATAGAAAAAACAAAGGATATGGGGTATCCATCCATGACACAAAATCAGTACATGCACAGCAAAAAACACATAAAAAGCAAAGGAACAGCATTTTTATTGCTGTTCTTCATCTCAAAGTCACAGTGAGGCCTTCAACAGCCTATATAAAAAGTATACTTCATTGCCCTTTTAAATTCATTATTCATCTATATGTATGGAATCTAGGAAAATTAGTACCCAACAATTAATAATGAATCCACAGTATCTGTAAAGCAGACTTAATCACTAAAGCTTAACAATGACCAATTAACCTTAAAAATGAGGTCAAAGTCAGATGAACCCTGCCAACAGCACATGTACACCTTAAAATCATTCTATAAACCAAATATAGTTGACCTACTGTTTATAGTATCAGAGAAACATATCAAATCACAAAAACTTAACATTAACCAATGAATCATGAAAATAAGGTCAATGTCAGATGAACCATTCCAGACAATCATGTACACCTGACAATCATTCCATACATAAAATATCATTGATCTACTGCCTATATTATCTGAGAATTGACATAAACAGAAAATTAAACATTGATCAATGAACCACGAAATTGAGGTAAAGGTCAAATGAACCCTGTCAGATTGATGTGTACATCTAACAATCATTCCATACACCAAATATTATTGATCTACTGCATATAGTATCTGAGAAACGTGCTTATATAGATAACTTTACATTGAAAAATGAACCATAATGAGGTTAAGGTCAGATGAATCCTGCCAGACAGACATGCACACCTTATAACCATCTGCTTATAGTGTTTGAGAAATGGATCGATTCAGTAAAACTTACCTTGCTTACTGATTTTTGAAATGAGGTTGAGGTCATGTGAACCCATCTGACAGACATGTAAACATATATTGAACATA